AGAACATCGGGACTGAGCTCCGGTTTGAAATTTTCTGTGATATTAGCCCGGTCTGCCTCTTTTGTTATGATTTCTGCGCTCACCTAACGATAGGTCTCTTCAACGACGTCTAACCAAAGGTCTGCCACCACCACTATCACTACCTACACCATCTCTAACACCTCATATCACTACGTACAACACCTCTACCACCTCTATCACTACCTCCACCACCTCCACCACCTCTACCACCTCTATCACTACCTCTATTATCACCACCTCCTATTAGTAAAAATATCATGACTTATTATTATGTCATATGTGCGTATAGCGTAAAGCTAATCTTCTCTATCCCTTTTAGTCTTAGTTAGGTATTATAGCGTATAATAGAAATATAACTACTTTTTATACTTAATTTAAACCCCTACTATAAAAGTAAACTACCACTTTAATAAAAGTAAACAACTACTTTAAACCTATTTACGGGTATACATGAGGTTAGTTTACACCTATATAGTAAACCTCTAGCGTACTATTCTATAGTAAACAATTTTTTACTGTATAGCTATACGCATATATGACATAATAATAAGTCATGATATTTCTACTAATAGGAGGTGATAATAGAGGAGGTGATAATAGAGGAGGTGATAATAGAGGTGGTGATAATAGAGGTGGTGATAGAGGTGGTGGTAGAGGTGGTGGTGGAGGTAGAGGTAGTGAAGAAGATTAAAGAAAGGAGGGGTAAAATACTTAAATAGTTAGTAGGAAACTAGTTATTACTACGTAATACTAGTAGATTAATAAAAGTAGAAATAAAAGTAGTTTACTTTTGTGGAATACATAGTATAATAAACCCTATTTAGGTTTACTTCTTCTCCCTAAACCACTTCTTAGTCTACTTTAGATAAATATGGCTACTGTAAACCGGTTTTGTACCGTAGTGAAACCAACAGATGAATGATCAAGTACGCGACATGAATAGATTCCACGACGCCGTGAGATGGTAGCCAACTGGCTCGCTGTACACGTATCCGAACTTCGTCGCCTACATATTGCCCAGAGCGAAAACTACTACCGACAAGATGTATGTATGCTTCGATTGTGGGAGTTCATCTTCAATTCTGAAGCTTAACCGCGACGCCCATCTCCGATCCCAACATGTTTACCATCCGAGCCCCAGCGTCTGCTCGAACTGCTGCGACAATACCATCAAACATCGACGCCTTCTTCGCCACGACTACCGTACCTGGTGACGGCCACACAACGGATGGTAAACAATAACGACAGTCATATTGAAGGGCAACAACCCTACCTCCCATAGTATGACTAAACTAAGCGCAATGCTCATCACAAATCTCTCCTCTGTCCATGGCGAAGCACAAATCCTGACTACTCAGATTGCCTGGCCTATTCGCGCCTACAATCCTACCACGACCTATTTTACCACTCCCGCAACACCAGACCTGGATATCAAACCCGACTACTTAGATTGCCAGACCTATTGACGCCTACTTTGACCGTTTACACTTCTACTACGACCTCTTCTGCCACTTCCGCAACACTAGGCATAGATGCCAATCACGAAAGTTAAATCGTCAAGCCTATTAACGCCTAAAACGTCCACACTTCTATTACGACCTCTTCCACCACTCCCACAACATCAGATCGAGATACACATCCCGACTAAGCGGATTGCCAAATACGTTACCTCCATCACCTTTATTATCTCATCACTATATTGTAAATGGATAAAACGGCCGACATGCAGCGCCGAAGCTCCAAATATCATATACATTATGAACTTTCCATCCGCATCTGCTGCGTCTACCACACCAAGACATCAACACAACAATAAGGATCCGTTCTAAGTTCAAGTTCAAGTGGCCAGACTTACCAGCACTACTATCTTTGTCACCGGTGCCACTCGTACAATTACAAATTATCACCAAACCAGACCCAATACGACAACTTTGCGCTTAGCCTCGATTCCCGTCATTGATAACACCCTTAGCCCCGTCATTCACGTCATACCTCAGTCCAGTAACAACCATTATATACTCTCTCGTCAGCATTAGCACTGGTCATGGTCTTCAAGAATTCACCCTCTCAAAAAAACGAAATCACTCTTCAGGTGGCACACACGAGATCGGATATAAAAACATCATCCTGGAACATGATCAGTCGTTAGCCATGACTATACCACGGCCTGCGCTTATTAAGAATGCAAAACTCCCGCAAGGTATGTAATAAGAAGGTCTCAAGGATTGACGAGCTAATGAAATACAGTTCAGTTTACGACGACAAGCATTCATACACAAGACACGCGAGCTTGGACAAGGATATTGCTGCAATGCAGCTTCCATCTCGTTAAAGGCGGCTATGCTACAATATGATCCTAGATGCCGCAATAATACAGTTTCACATTTTTTCTACGTGAGATATCGCGATATCAAGGTGGATATTATATGTACTGCAATTTCAAGGTAGGTGTAATATAATGCGATAGTAGGGTAGGTATCAAAGTGGGTATCGAGGCGGACGTCAAGCGCGATATCCATATATCGCGATATCAAGGTAGGTATCAAGGTGGGTATCGAACGTGGTATTGATATTTCGCGATTTCGGGGTAGGTATCACGGTAGATATCAAGCGTGGTGTTAATACATCGCAATATCAAGGTGGGTATCAAGCGTATGTTAGCTAAAGCAGTTGAATTCGTGTCGACAGATTGTCCCGAGGAGAAGAAGTGATGGTTCGCTTTTAGAGATTAATGACAAATGTGCATTAGAGTACTGCTAGGGTGGATCAAGTCTGGTAGATTGCATCGTATAACTTATCGTTTACGAAGATCGACGGCAGATGTGCTAGCTTGTGTCAACCTGGGTTCATTGACCGAACCAAGGTAAATCATCATTACAGCTTCTGTGAGAAGTGGAAGCCATAGCTCTAGGTAAAATCCATCATGCGAAATACATTGCAGGTTCATGGTACGTCCAGCCTCTTTGAGGGCTGATTCGTGTCGAGTGCCTTTAGCCGCTTTCCAAAGGTAACCATGCCAGCGCCTCAGTGAACCAAACTCGCTCACAGCCGAGCCAACATACAGTTTCCATTTAAGGCTCTCGTTTGGTGCATACTGGAGAACATCGAGATATACATACTTTTCCGACAATTCCGAATTGGAAAGCCTAGGGAGAGACAAGAGATCTTCGATTTGAAAACCTCTTTGACCAAGAACTATCTTGGTAGATTCCGGGACGCCACTCAAGACCTGTTCTACCAGGTAATCTTCACTACCTCTGGTCAACAAACCCGCAAATGCTACTGTGAACATTTGCTCTTCAAAAACCTCCTTGAGCTTGCCACCCCGTGAGGTAGAAGCAATGAGCTTCGCGTTCCAAATGATTTGTCGGATGTCTTCATCGAACCTTTGAAGACGTTGAGATTTCTCTCGTTTATTGCACGGAGTTAGAGGAGATGAATCATGCATGCCGAATTGTTCATCTAAATAGTCCAGGAGATGATTTGGCAACACAGTGCGCAAACAGGTGTTCTGCAGGTGTGTCAGAGCAAATTCAAATCTATGGTTAGAAGAACATTCAATACCTTTTTCATCAAGACCATTGCATGGAAGATCAACATCTATATTATCGTCTTCTTCTTCGTCTTCATCGTCTTCAAAAACTCGGTGGTCTGGAGCCAACAAGCAGTCTTCATCGACTTCATCATCACATGAGTCGTCATCCTGGACATCCGTGTCGTGCTCATCCTCAGAGTATGAGCTATCAACCTCAGAATCATCTTGAGTTGATTCTGCATCATGATCATCATTAAATCTTGTGAGACGGGGTCGCTTCTCAGGTCGCCTGGAAGATGTGGCATTATCGGACGTGGCATTGTAAGATGTGCGCTTAGTGACCTCGAAGTTCTGGAAGGCAGACATCTTTAGAAGAGAATTTGATGATTTGATTATGGAAAGAGGTGAATGTGGAAAGAGGGGAGTGTGAAAGTATTGTAGACAACAAGTCACGGTAGGTAGTGTGGTAGGTAGTGGTGGGCAGTGTAGTAGGTGAAATGTGGTAGGCAGTGTAGTAGGTGAAATGTGGTAGGCAGCGTGGAAGATGAAAGTCAGTCTCATCCATCCAGTGTGTAATGGAATTCTCTGTTTGTGCGAAATTTCGCTTGGCGTAGGGTGCCGACTGCCTCTTCGACTGCTAAATCATCAACGCAATGGAGCCTACACGCCGCATAGATTTTGATTCCTATCCATGTTAAAGAAGAGCCGTCCGATAATACCGACAACACCAATCTGCTTGGGCCTGAGGATCTTTTGCAGAGTCTTGAGCATGGGATACTAGAAGGATTTGAGCACGAGGAATGGGAGGAACTCACAAAGGTAATCATGTCAGTATATTATCACGATATATGATTACAGGATACTGTCACAGTACATTATTACAGGATACTGTCACAGTACATTATTACAGGATACTGTCACAGTACATTATTACAGGATACTGTCACAGTAGAACAGGTATGCTAATTTGTCCAGACTACGACGAAACCTTGCGTGAGCGTGACAACATTAAAAGCCTGTTGCGAAACAGGCAAGCCCAGCTTGAAGAAAACAACATCCCACAACGGTAACCTCGAGGCAGGTGAGGAATGAGATCAAAACCCTGCATCGCGAGGTCCTCTCCAGCAGACAATTCACGTTGTATTTGCTACTCACTCTAGCGCCAGACCTTCGAGATCCGCCTCCGTCACTACGCACTTTCGGCGTCAGCGGATTCTCGACTCAGAAAAGTTCTCTGGAGAATCTACCATGATCCGTAATCTAGTCAAAAATCTCCATATAAGCTCCAAGTCGATGGGCACCTCTTTATTAGCAGTCTGGGCCTTCCCAGTGTGCACAGTAAACTCGCGTACGCCGTGAGCTGACTACCGGTAGATGACGACGACAAGAAATACATCATTCTTTACATCGGAGCCACTGCCATTAACCTCAGTGCAAGACCACAATTAAATAACCATCTAGCCTGCCATTCTAGACTGCAAGACCCGCCTCCTCATGGCCCTGATCTGCAAGGCCCGTCTCCGCCATATCTACAAGGTCCTACTCTACAAGGCCATATCCGCCGCGTCTTCCATGTCCACCGCGTTGGCCACATCCACTGCGTCTTTCTGCGAGGGAAAGCTCTACAGAGAGCAGCCTCACGAAGGGTCTTCTAAAGGGTGAACTTGTGGGGGGGAACTTGTAGAGGGGGTGGGTATTGAGATGGGTGTGGATACCTCGCGATATTAGGGTAGGCGTTGAGATAGGTATTGAAATGGGTATTAGGAGGAGTAGTGGGCGTGGTATCAATATATTACGATGTCAAGATAGGTATAGAGCATGGCTTTAATAAATTAATAGTTTCCTAGTATTACTCCAAAATAGTTTGTAACATGCTGGTTGGAAGATGTAGGTCAAAATTATGTAGTAGTGTTTGTATTATTAAGATAAAAACAAGGTTTACTCATACAACTTCTACTAATCCTAAGTATTGTAGATAAATCCAAGAGCAATAGTATTATTGTGAAAAACGGTATGTCGTGTTTTAGAGTTGCGTTGCAGCGAAAAAGTCGTGGTTTACCTTGGACGATATGCTAGAGCCACGCCATACCTTCACATACTGTAAGCTGACTATTATTAACTAAGAATCATAAATCAGCTTCACTGGGAGCTTCAGATTTATAAGATAATCTAACACACTCCTTTCGATGCCTACTCAAGTTCTTGCCCCACATCAAAGCAGCCATTCTACACCAACTCATTTACAAGACAACTTATCAAATATAAATGTATTACAATGTTGTAAAGGACATTTTTCTCTATACAACGCGCTCAAAATGACCTAATTTGGATTAGTACTGGCCGAGGAATTCCCAAAGGCTTAATTGGGAACCCCAGGCCTACCCTCAAACCAAGCCATATACGTTTGCCAGCGGCCAGCTTATATGATAAAATTGATAGGACAGAAGCTCCTTTACTCAGCCCAAAATAAGCATCATGTATGCGCAGATATGGGGCGCAGATACGTGGGACACATAAATAAACATCTCTCCCCCCGAAAATGTAGATACTAATAATTGAATACTACAATTAATGCTTGCTGCAATCATTCCAAGAGTCCATACCAAGGTTTACAAGCGGCTGAGTCCTGCGATCTCCCTTGGTGCGTGGTAGTTGGGCACCTTCATGTCGAGTGCGCTTCCACTGTACCCAAGATCCTCTCCAGTCAACATCGCGCATTTCTCACCGATCAACAGGGCAGTGCTATACGTATTACATCCCACATTGTCGGGACATATAGAGAGGTCTGCCACTTTTAATCCCTTGACGCCGTGGACATTGAGGCGTTCGTCTACGACGCCGTGTTTGACGATTGAATTTCCATTGCGCGGAGCCATGCTGCACGTGCCCAGTGAGTGCCAAGTTGTTTCCACGTGGCCTATCACGTAGTATTAGCTTAATCATTAATTGTAATGGCGGAATTTGTATTAATTGAATTTGGTGGGGGGTGGGGGGGTGGGGGGAGGGTTTGGGTAGTGGTGGTGGTGAAGAAGAAAAAGGCGAATTGAGGGACGACGAGGACGAGACAAAAAACATACGCTTGACCCAGTTTTCAATGTGCTTAATGTCCTCGGTGCTGTACTGCAAATCCTCGTGCACAGTCTGGCAGTTGGAGTTCAACCAGTTTGGCTCGGGTCCTTTGCCTGGCTTCAACGGCATAGTCCATGATCCGTGCTGGATACCAGCACTCAGATTGTCTGGAAGTGCGTATGCATTGGTAGTCGCAAGATCCATGTCCAGAGCGCGCGCAGGGCTGTCAAAAGCGTAGAAGGGGTGCATAGACTGCACTTCACCGGCGTAAGCGTCCATGCGACGAGCCGTCTCGCGGGACTTGATGTAACCCCATACCATGGGTGCCATGTCGCGCTTGTCGTTCATGAAGCCGGCGTCAAAATCAGGAGCCTCGTATGGGTTGGGTGATGTGATGTGTGTGCTACCACGGGAAAATGGGTACTCGAGGAAGTGGAACCTAAAATGTGTCAGAGAAATTGAGATGGAATAAAATCAGGGAGAAGATACTTACATGGTAAAGAACTTGCCTGGTGGCATAACCATGTGGTCACCGTACCAACCCGCAATAACGGAGTAGTGCATGACTGGCTTGTCGGGCTTGTGCTTGAAGTAACTGTCCCAGCCAGAGCGGAATTCCTTGCAGGGCCAGCTGTCCATCATCTTGAGCTCTTCCTCGGTGGGACGAATCTTTACACCAGCCTCAATACCATTGGTAGCCATGGGACCTGTTCCATTGATGTTCCATTGCTGGATGACGGCTTCTTGCACCTTGGGGTCACCGCGCACAAAGTCGTCAAAAGTCTCGACATGGGGCTTCGCACGGTAGGTTGAAAAGGTGAGGCTAATATCTGATTAGTCGCGTGGCATTGAATAGTATCGGTGTGGAAAGACTTACTAGTGATCCTGGAAGTTGAGACCAACACCGGGGAGGTCGACAAGAGGTTTGACACCGACCTTGCGGAGCTTCTCAGGGTCACCGATTCCGGACCTCTGAAGAATCAATGGAGATGATAGGGTTCCGCCAGACACGATGATCTGCTTGCGCGCCTTGTAGATGCGGGAGTATGGCTCACCGCCAGCAACAGGCTTGGTGGGAATGACCTTGACGCCAACTGCACGGTCACCCTCAAGAACGACCTGGAAATCAAGATTAGCTTGTTGTACGCTAAATGTTCTCTTGACAAGAACCTACTTTATCGATCTTGTGGCTGGTCAGCAAGTGCAAGTTCTGGTGGACAGCGCGAGTGCTGTGGACATAGCCATGAGCAGAGTCGGACCGACGTCCGGTGTCACGGTTGATCCACTTGAGCCAGTGCTCGGCGCCGTGGCCAGTAGTCAAGTCTTGCAAATCATCCGTGGTAGGGACTCCCTGTGACTCGGTGGCCCTAGAATGGGTCAGTCCGGGGTCTAGTGGTGAAGTTTGGGGGGCAATGGAATTACCTCAAGAAGTCTTCTTTGATGGGGTAAGTGTAGTTACCGAATGAGACCTTGATGGGACCTTCGAAACCATGAAGTTCACGGTTGTTGCAGGATCGCTGGTAGGTTTCGTGCTTCTTCATCAGGGGAAGGAGATCCTTGGTGGTCCAGCCCTTGGCCTGGAAATCATCGTAGTCGGAGGCCGAGGCACGGGTGTACATCTGGGAGTGTAAGCATCTGGTAAGCGCTCAACTCGTCTCTCCAACTTACCATGAAGTTGATGGAGGATCCACCACCCAAAATGTGTGCGCAAGGAACGACAGCTCGACGTCCATCGAGCCATTCTGAAGGTCGAGAGTAGTAGAAAGTGGCAGTCTTGCTGTCCAACTTCATATTACGAGGGTAAATTCCCGGACGGAAAACCCATGGGTTGTTCAAGTTGTTCTCTCCAGCCTCGATCAAGAGAACTTGGAGATTATGGTCAAGGTTGGCCAATCGTCCAGCGACGACGCAACCACAAGAACCACCACCACACACGATGATATCGACCTATACGGGTTAGCTACTTTCAAGACGGAGCGCAAGTACCACAGCAGTCAGGCATACCTCATCTGGGATGGTCATCTTGAAGGATCGTTTACTATAAAAATGAGACTACTATTTATTGTACGGCCAGACGTCTGAAGTCAACTGGTCTGGATCATTCACAAGAGGTGCAACCAGCTTCTTATAGAGTTCTTGAACCCCGCATTTTCAAGATCGTCGGGTCAAAAGAGACCTATACCCCAAATCCGTCCCACACTGTGCTTACAATGGTCCGTCAAGGCCGAGATCAGCTTAACCAAATGCACAAGAGAGGGGACGGAGGCTGAGTCTACTAGCCCCGTGCTTGCTTGTTACCCAAACACGTTTGGACAGCTGGAATTACCCTGATTCGATGCCAATTGCTCGATCCATCATGGAATAGACTCCATGGTTAACGTATCAGTGACTTGCGGATCCGCAAGTATGCTGCACCAGATGCTCGCACAGACTGCTGGGGCACTGACTCGACCCTGTGGCAATGATTCGCCCAAGTGATCCATTAAGCCTAGGTTTCCAGCACAACGGTACTGGATAAAGGCCGGGGTCAAGAAAACCCCCAGTCTCACCATGTTACGATTGGTTGATCATACACTTGGTCAGTTCGCAATGCAGGGGATGCTCCCAGATGGCTTGGGACTAGGATGTTAGACTTTACATGACTGGTATTACATGATATTAGATCACATCATCACATTGTTAAATAGCATTGATATTTATATGAGAATAACTATACCATCTAGTGTAAATTATACAGTGGTATTTTTGCTTCGTAAATTCCTAGACTATAGGAATTTCTAAATTGGGAATATAACTATTTAAAGTCTTAAACACTTTTTGCAATTTATTCCTAGATTAGTTAAGTTATAGTATTATTTCTATAGGCTACATAATGTTTAAATAGCTTTACAATAATAACTAATTCTATTCTAAATAATTCTATTGGTATATAACTCTTTTAGATACAAAAATCTAAAGTCCTCTAAATCTTTTAATCTAAATCGTTACGCTATAACTAATTTTGATTAAATAAAATAGTAAATTAAATATTAAGTAACGTTAACGCAATTTGAAAAATAGAAGCTGTCTATAATCTAGTAGACTACCTACGCGTACTCGCTATAGCACTAATCTACTAGGCACAGCCTAAAAATCGGTCAGACCACAATAAACCAGGGCTCCAGACCCACCATCTCGCACCCCACACCCAGCCAACCGAACAACCCTTCCCGCCAGACCAGGGCCACCGCCCCCGTTTCCAACAACAACGAGGTGCGGAGAAACGAGCCTACCTACTCCGTCCAGGTCAGTCAGCACTCACGCCTCGGTCAAACAGTGCGGAACCGAAGCGATGCGGGCCACAGCTTGCGCATCGAGGCGTCCGCCCGCCATCCAATCAGCTGCGCAACTGACGCAGCATCGATGCCGATTGCAAACAACAGGCTGTGAAGTGGAGACGGGCGGTTTCCTCATTACCCATTGAAATTGAACAGGCGGGGGACTGTTGCTATCTGGCGATGATGTTTGGTATCTGGTAATTGGCCTTGCAGAGGGCGAGTTGCATTGGTCAGTGGCCACTGTATTGTATTCATCTCGAGGCAGTGATAATGCTGTGCGTCCCCAGAGCTGCCTTTGCCAGTCCTCCTCCCTGGAAGCTCACAGGGATCATAGCTCTACCAGCTCCCGTACCGTATGTGGACAGTCGATATCGTACATACCGCTACTCTCCAGCGCAGTCTAGCTGCGACATGAGCGGCAATTCGGGGTTCTCTAGCTCTGGAGCCATCTGCGGGGGGCGCGCGGCACTGACGTTGGCTCCGTCGGTCCAGCACCAGCCTGGCTGTTCGCCGCTGTTCTGTCGTGGAAGAATCGAATATGGGGGGGGGGGCATGTGGGGTGTGGGCGGCCCAGATCTTGGCGTGAACACTAGAGGCGGCGGAGACCCCCGCAAGTGCGGGGAAGATGAGGTTGGACCCTCCCGAGGTGGTTATGCTCGCTCGCCTTGCTACCTAACCCGACGACTTCTCCTCCAGCTTCCCACTCGGGGTGGTGGAGTTTGTCTTTGACTGCACTTTTTGGGATATCCTGCGCTTGCAAACTGCGGGTCCGGCATCGAGCACACCAAATACCTCCAACTCCAAGCTGATCCGCGGCCGTCGTAGCACTAGCTGTGATGTTGCGGAGGGGAGGGGGGAGAGGGGATGCAGTGTGGTGACCACATGTGGTAAGCTGGTTACTTCCGTGTAAGCTTATTTCCGCAAGTTAACTAGCCAGCACGAGATGCTTGCGACACATTGCGTCGATCCAGACGACGCATACTGTACTTGTACCGATTCATGGCAACCTTGCATCCAGATCCTCTTGTCTCTGGCGGAAGGGCATACCGGTCTTGGGACTCCATGTAGGCAGGTAGGGGATCGACGCTTGTTGGAGGCATGTATGCATCGTTCGAGTGAGTCCCTCCTCACAGCTAGAGTACACGTTACGTTGCTTCTTTGCTCGCCATGCCGGCGGATTGAGACCGCATGTGCGAGTAACTGAAGTGGCCTGATGCCAATGGATGTGATGCCACAGTACAATGAGTCTCAGCGCGTCCGCAATGAACGAGCGAAATCGAGGCAGATGGAAAGTCGGTCCTACGTCTTGCATTGTACAGGCTCAGGGCAACAGGGAACTTGTACAGTTTGGGTATTCTCCACGTGCATCGATAGGTGGGTGGACACTACATCCCCAGCTGTTCATAAACTTTATGACCGCATGTGCACTTGCAATCGTGAGGCTGACACCCCGGACTACCCGAATAGCTCCGTGGAGGCTAGGTACAAGTGTGGACGACGAATATCAATGCAAAAGGATGTATTCTCCTCAAACACGACTACACTACGTCTTTTCATGACCGGGTATCTTCCGCCGCTTTTTTGCAAAACCCCCTATGAACGCCGAAACAAATGCAATTTTCTTTTTAGGAAAATAAAAGGAGTGGAGTAAGGAACAACAACAAAAGAAGGACTGTGCCCAAGTGATTGATCCAGAAGTTCAAATGACTTCATGGCGTTCCCAGCCGGTGGGCTTGGGATGTGCAAGATCCTTGGTAGGGTGTGGCTTTTCAGGGTCACGGTATTCGCTTACATAGGGATTGGGATCTTCCTTTTGGTCCAAGTTGCCAAAGGTGTGGTTGACTTCTCGATGCTTGCTCTCATCTGCGCGAACTAGGCTCAAGTCAGCAGGGATATCAATCGATAGGTAAAAAGCATCAGGGTTGCCCATACTGTAAAGGAGGAGATCTCGCATCGTCCGGCGGCCCTCTGGCATATGCCAGTAATCGACGGCAATCTCCGGGGCCTCCATCTTTTCCCACTTGGGCAGACGGCCTGCGTCGAGATCCTCAATCTGGCGCGTGTACGTGATGACTGCTTCCTCCTCGAGGTATCCGACGAAGCGGTGGACAGTACGGGGGCTGAGGAGATAGGCGAAGAACAAGGCGTTGCACCATACACCCTGTGCAACCAATACCATGAAGCGCATAAAGGGGCCGGGCTTTTGCATCTTGAGGAACACTAGCAGGTGCATGCGTTCGTTGAAACTCTCCTCAAGGAGGGATTCGATCCTGGTAGACATGCGTTAGCCTCAAGTCTACCTACTGGTGTGATAGTCGCTCGGCCTTACCATCCATTGTCGCGCTTCATCCTCCGCATCGAGTGCAGGTGCCGAAGCATGCCTGCAACCATGCCAGGCACACCGGCTACGCTCTCTAGGAAGACGTTGCGGACCAAGTATTTCTCCTCCGTCATGGCAAACTTCTGCTTGGCAGCCTCGGGATCCTTTGCGTTGAGCTTCACTGCTTTCCCATGCTTGTATCCAGTAGCAGTATCCAGGCCCCAGCGAAGAATCTTGACCGCGACAAGAGCAAGTTTATCAGATATTGTTTGAGCTTCACGATGGGCAATCTGGACCTGGTTCATCTGCTCTTCGGTGTATGCTGCGGATAGTCAGTCAGTGGATTGACTTTTTATGAATGGATCAAGCCTATCTACCTGGATGTGGCCATGCGGTAGGAGTCCTGCGGACCTTATCTGTGGCACATTTCTCAAAGAAGTCTTTGATGCCCGGCTGTGGTGAAGAGGAGAAGTGACGTTGGCCAGATGGGGCGTTTCGACAGTACTGTATAGCCACAAAGCAAGATCGAAGTCCTGCATTGTGGCTGCGGAAGGTCCTGATGAGCTGAGCGGTCGTTTGCCTCGAGGCCGTTGAGCTTTGTCCTAGTAGCCTCGCTGACATCATTTGTGTAGGATGGATGTGTGTATTGGTGATACTATAACTATAACCAAATGGGTGAGATGATGGAGTGGATGAGTACTGGTGATGACCAAACCACTAGACTGAGGCAAACATTAGTGCTTTATATCATTGAAAGAAAAAAAAATCTTCTTGGCTGATGGCAAACAGTCAGGCCCCAGGTACGTCCAACACTACGCTCCTGGGCCGTACAGTCATCAAAGGGTGAAGCAGGAGCTTGACGGGCTGTTTGCCGCCATGCCGCGAACTAGGCGCTCAAGAACGAGCAAATACGCGTCAAGGGATAGGACGAGCAGGGATACAAAGAACTGAGATCGGACTTGTCAGGTCTCGTGCATTGTCCGGTCTGAGGCTGCTGAGCAAGTATCGGGGTTCAGGTTGAGGGTATGGCGATAATGAACCGGGTTGAGCTTAGATAAGCGGGTCCATGACAACTTCAATATCATCAAAGTTTGCCGGAAAAGCTACAACTATAGTAGACGCAAATACAAATGAATACAAAATCATGATCAGTGCCCTTGAACGGATTTTACTTGGCAGCGTATTTCTTCAGCGACGTATTTGGCTCCACGTTGTGATGGTATGTTGTTGCTGGGTTCTTGAGCATCGCATCTGCTGTTCCGAAAGAAACTCGTGTTTTTCGGTCTCTCGCCTTTGGGCTCCGGCTTGCAGTCATAGGGCTGAGGAGGGTCCATGGCCTGCTTGGCCAGACGGTAAAGGAAGTCCGACGATGACTGAGATTTTCCAGGTCACCGTATGACCGTTTTACAGAATTGTTGTTGGGCAACGCATGCTGTGCTATGGTCGGCGATGCCCTGGGTCGTGGTCGGCGATGAGGCGGTGCAATGGCAATGGCCGTTATTGACATTCGACAGCGTCAACGTCATACATGCGTTTGTGATGTCGATGGATCGACTATGAGTGTTCAATGTTGCCTATTTTGGTCAGATGATGGGTACTATTCTACAATGGGGCGGTATGCATCGTTTTATTAGAAAGTCCAAACTCTTGAACGTCGGACACTTGGACGCTTGGGCTAGACTGGGAGAATGGACTTGGCTGATGAGTTGGGAAGTGCGATTATGAAATTTGTACCACATTGCTGTTGTCGCTGTGGATCAACTGCTCGAGATACTCGTGCCACTTGGATATCTAATGTGTATATTTATTGTCATGGCTATATGGTGACCGGGATCATCGGATAGCTTCCTCTGTACGAATTGCTGTGATATGGAGATGTGATTCCTTCCCAATCAACCATCTACTTGATGATGAAGCTGGTCTCGTCTGACGTGGGGGCAATGTCTTCTATATCTAGACTTGTGATGCGTGAAGCAGGCGATCCCTTGTGTAGACACTGGACAAAGTCTTTGATCTGAGCACCTGTGCCCTGAGCCTCGCCTTGGACCTGTTGTTGGAATGTTGTTAGTCATGATGACGGGGCCATCGACAAGGTTTGTGCACGCTTTATGCATACTGTGCCATCAGACGCATTGGTAACATAACCCGTCACACCAATGTTGGTTGCTTCTTTTTGGGTGTAGGATCTGAAGTTGACGCCTTGGACCCTGCCGCCGATGGTGAAGGTGATCTATCGAGGTGGAATCAGCCATGGTGCGCGAGAAGTGGTGTTGTGTGACATGCACCGTACACGTTTGCGGAGCATTCTGAGTGTTGTGTGTGTGTGCGAGAAGAGCTGTGCTTGTGGAGAAGATGGTGGTGGTGGTGGTGGATTATGGAGCTCGGAATCGAAGACACAAGCAAGTTCCGTCCGGTACGATACGCATAAAGACAGTGGCATCAAATCACGCGTCGACGTCATGGTTCCCGAGATGAAGCTGTGCTAGGTAATGGAATGTGCCGGTAGCATGTTATAGGTAGTAGTGCTTAGGTACCTCTACCACCATGTACCTGGAACTTGCAAGGGGCTATTTTTGGGAAAGGAACCCCTGTCTGTGCCTAGAGTAAGTGGTTATGTACTGTACATAGTACTGTGTGTCTGTAAGACTGTGTGTCTGTAAGACTGCGTGTCTGTAAGAGTACAGTATTGTGCTGTACAATAGGGTACCCGGTGCCTGCGGCCAGGTGTCTACTGTATATACTTGGGTACTCTTAAAGTATCATTGGCCTCGAGTGCGGGGCAAGAGGACAGCGCTGGAAGTACCAGTAACCTAACACAAGGGGGAGGATGGGGGACGTCACCTGTCTCTTCAAGCTTTCCTTATGTAGCCATGTACTCTACACTTACACCGTACTGTACAACTACCGGTACCTCGCAACAGGATACCCAGCAATCTCGCGACCCTTTCTTGCGTCACCCGAGAGGTCCCAAATCGCGATCGATGGCCATGGCAAGAGCGGCAAAACGAAGAGCAAGAAACAATGCAATCTGTCCACTACTCTTCGGCGGAGATTGCACGTCCGCCCCCGTTCACAAGTAGTCACTTTCCCGAGTGGGCCACCGACGGGACCAGCCTGACAGTGCTTGACCAACGAGACGGATTCTGCGCTAGTCACGCGTTGTATTCCAATAACATAGTACAATTTCGCGTCTCGCTCCTGAAACCCCGTACCAACGCCGCCCCTTAGCAACAACCGCATCTCACCCATGAGGCTCCGCAAACATTGGCCGTCTGTCTCTCCTGCCGTAGCGCTCTTACGCCCGCAGGTACAGCAGCCGCTCACCACCATCCGCAAATACCTCGACTTCCACCGCAACACGCCCGCACATCAGCCACCCATCACCACCACCACCACCTCCTCCTCCTCCTCCTCCGCCATGGACACCACCACACCCGCATCGCCGCCAGAGCGCTCCATCTCGCCCGAGCCCTGGGCAACGCCCTCGCTGGCCCTCGGTGCCATTCCCCAGCTCGATCGCTCCGTCTCCACAGCCTCCTCCGTCTCCTCCGTCTCTGGTCGCTCGGCGAGCTCGAGGCTGTCGGACGGCGGCAGGAGACGCGGATACATGAGGCCAGAGGGCACCAAGTTCTCCGACTCGGCCATGCACAGAGAGAGCGTGCAAAATCTGGGCACCATTGCGCATTTGCAGTACTACTTTGCCCGGACTGGCCTGTTGGATACGGCGACGGGACGGGTCGCCAAGTCGCGCAAGAACGGTACGAGGTCAGCGAGTGGGACGGAGCCCGTGTCTCCAGGACTCGAGGCCGACTTCTCGACTGTCTCGCTCGCCTCTCCAGACGGCACCATGGAACCTCACTTGGGCGAGGGCTTCGTCGAGTCACCGATTGACGAATCTACGCCCATGCCTTGGGACGACAACGAGCCCATGATGCTCCCACCTACCGTCAGCACATACAAGAATAATCCCATTTACGTGCCCCCGCCGCCAGACATGACGGTTCTGCGTCGTGAATTGCGCGAATCGCTTGCCGAGGCCACAAAGCATTTGGACGAATTAAAAAAGGGCTTTGCCAGCGCATCACCACCGACCCAAGTCCGAACCAACAGCGATGGCACCACCGACGTTCCTGATGCGCAGGGCTGGCATGAGATTCAAGGTCTGAACCTGCTCGACGTCACCACACTAGCCATTCGCGCCGCAAAGAACTACTACACTGCACACGAGGCCCCGCAACGGCTCTACGCCATCAAGTCGGAGCGGACGATTCGCAAGGAGCTCTACGAATGCCTGGAAGTCCTGAAACGCCTAGCCATCCGGAATTTTGCCGCAGGCGTACAACCGTACGAAGTCACGCAAATCGACCAATGGGTACGCGACATCAACACACTGCTCGACACGGAAGAGGAGAGGGAGAGAATAGAGGAAGCGGAACAGGAGAGCTTGGCGTGGCGTCAGGGTGATTGGACGGGTAGAGAGCGGGAGCGCGAGTTGCTGTTCCTTCGATCGTTTGACAGCAGCCCGGATACGCTGCCTGAATGGACGCCGGCCAAGGAAGACGGCACGCCTACGCCTTTTCTCGCCGCGGTACAGACTGGACTGCGGTTAGTCCACCTCCACAACGCCCTCGTGCGCAAGTCGAGACGACAATTCGAGGAGATCAAAAACTACCACACCGACACTGCGAAGCCATACCGTTGCGCGGACAACCTTCGATACTGGATCAAGGCCGCCGACTTGCGCTGGGACATCAAGCTGGATGTGGATGTCATGGGCGTGGTGCACGGTGACGACGCGACGGCCTGGCAAAAGTTTGACGCCGCGCTCTTGAAGTGGTGTTTGGGTGTGCGCGAGGAAATCACGTTGGAGTGGCACAAGCAGAAGAACCAGACGCGGACGCCAACGCTGCAAATCGATGCCAACTAGGAAGCGCAGTAAGGGCGAGGCTCCCGGGGCCCGTCGGGGTAGCCCGAGTCGGTTGGGAAACCCAACCCTCTTTCTTTCTGCTGTGCATGTCCGACTCTTACCTCTCTTATACCACCATTTTTTTTTGTGTCTACTTTGTACGACATGGAACGCCCAACAACAAACTCCGCTCCTATGGCTGGCTGGCTGAAGATGATTCAAGAGTAGAGAGCGCGGCTTGGAAAAGACGGATGATTCTCTTCTCTCTTTCTTTCTCCTCTGTCTTTTTTCTCTTTTCTCTTTTTTTCTCTTTTTTCTCTTTTTTCTCTTTTTTCTCTTTTTTACCATTTTTACCATTTTTACCTTTCTTCTTCTTGACCACACTTCCAACCCACCCCCTCGGCTCTTTACATTCATAGTAGACCAGCCTTGAGATAGATACCCCCCACCACTTTTTTTTCGACATGATCTTTGCCAGCATCATCATCATCATCATCATCATCATCATCATCATCATCATCATCATCATCATCATCATCATCATCATCACCATCATCATCAGCGACGATCCAACCGGACAGTCTGCGTATCTTGTAATAGCACATCTTCTGATCAAGCGTCGGGGTTTGTAGGACGAGATGCCTTGGCCCTGTATATAGACCACCAGCTAGTACTCGTTTATACTGTACCAGTGCGACGTCGTGGCCCCGCGCCAGTGTTTGTGTTTGCCTGTGTGGGTGCACACCCTTCCGAGCTCGTCTTGGGGAAGGTGTGGAAGGTGCATGTCGTCTTGTCGTGCAAGGGCAAGGGCAGCCTCCCAAGCCAAGTTGTTTGCCTGTGCCCCTTGCCCTGTGCACTGTGCATACCCTCCTCCTCCCCTTGCCTCTCTTTCTCTCCCTGCCAGCGACTGCCTCTCTCCCTGCCAGCGACTGCCTCTCTCCCTGCCAGCGACTGCCTCTCTCCCTGCCAGCGACTGCCTCTCTCCCTGCCAGCGACTGCCTCTCTCCCTGCCAGCGACTGCCGTGGACGGGATGACGGGTGCCCAGCCTGTCAAGCTCGTACAGTAGATGGGAAATGGGCGTGCGCGGACCTTGTGCAGGCCCTGTGTCCCCGTATCCCTTGGCTTTGGCCGGTTTTTTTATTTTTATTTTTCTTTTATTTTTATTTTTCTTTTATTTTTATTTTTCTTTTATTTTTATTTTTTCTGGTTTTTTTTGGTTTTTTTTTGTTTCTAGTCTTTTTGGAAGAGGCGGCTTTCTTTGCTTCGCTCCGCTCGCCTGCGTCTACAACATGTACAGCCGTATCCATCTCTCTTTCCTTGCGTTGCTGCAAGGCCGAGACGAGGGGCGAGGTTGTGGACAAGCCGGACTGGGCTCTCTAGGGTGAGTGCAGGGTAGAGTAGAGACAGCACTGATGTCAACTCCCCAGACACGGGCCAAGGGGTTGGTGTTTGAGCCGGCTCAACCGCGTTTGATTGGCGCGAGGATGGATCGAGGTGGGGAGTAGTTTCAACGGGCATGGTGCGGCAGGAGTGAAGTGCACACGTTGCAGGAAGCCTCGGTCGTGTCTGTTGCCTTGGGTAGGTATGGGATTATGGTTTGCTATGGGATGGGATGGATGGGACGGAAGTTTGGTCCAGGGTTTGGCATGTAACTGTATATGCTGGTCATGTGTCATTCACAGGTGGGCATCCTGTTAGGTACATGGCATCCATACACACACAAGTACATACCCTACCTACCTACCTATATACATACATACCCTTTCCAAGTTCGTGTTGTCGTGCAACGACGACGAACCAAACTTCGCGCGATCGGCGCAGCCCGTGTTGTTTTGTTCTCTCTGGACACCAGTAAACAAACAAAGGACCGTGGGACCACGGCGCGTCGCACTGATTTCGGGGCTGAAAAAGAACGCGCGCAGACCAGCCCGGCCGGACCCTCTTGCAATCCCCCCCCCAATCAATCACCAAAGTCAGAAGCCGTGAACGACTCGGCTACTCTTCTGCGTTCTCTTGTAGCTGGTTCGCTGCCAGTGGGTCCCCTCTCTTTCTTACCATACATACCATACAGTACATAGTACATGCTGCTTTTATTTTTGGGAGAGGGGGGCAAGCTTGGATCGGACCCAGAGCGTCCTTTTTATTTTCTTCATTTCCCCCTCGAGGTTGGAAGAGCGTGGAGAGACCATGTTCAATGACCAACTCGGCCGCTTCGCATCCCGCCAGCAGCCACCAGAGCAGCCCCGCGACTGCCGTCACCTTTTCCAGTCTTGAAGATCGCCCCCGTCTGCCAGCGAAGAGGACTCCGCTTGACAGCAGCAACGTCACCAAGCTTGACACTAGTTACGACTACTACTCCCGAAACAACAACAACGTCGACATCAACACCACCAACAACACTCACATCAACACCACCACCACCACCAACAACAACACTCACATCAACAACCACAACACCAACAACAACAACAACTACAACAACTACAACAACAACAACTACAACAACACCAACAACAACAACACCAACAACAACACCAACACCACCACCACCACCAACAACACTCACATCAACAACCACAACAACACCACCACCACCACCAGCCCAAACACTACCGCCGGCGCCACAGCCCCCGACACCAGCTACCGGCCCAAACACGCGCGCAACCTCTCGACCGCCTCCATCACCTCGGCCTCGTCGCTCCGAAACGCGCTGCCCCAGCTTGACACGCCCACGAAGCTCGCACGCAATGTGTCGCCCGGCCTCCTCGCCCGCATGAAGTTTCTCAACCAGCAAACCACTGACGCCGCCAACAAGAGCGTCGACGTGGGTCGCATCGAAGACGACAAGATCCGCAAGCTTGACGAGTTCCACCGCGACCGCAGCTGGAGCGTCGACCGCCGCGGCGCCGCCTGGAACGGACTGCACGCTCAGCCCGAGTCGGCCGCTGTCGCTGTCGCGGAGCCCGTGGCCGGAGAAGGCCTGCAGGAAGGCGTGGGCCGTTTGGATCGCTCCAAGGTGACGCGCAGTAGACAGGTCAGCCGCGATAGTGACGCTGAACTCAAGGGCGCGCCTAGTGTGGGCCGGATTGACGCGGATAAGCTGCGTCGTCTGGACGAGAGCCACAGACATCGGAGCCTGACTATCGAGAGGCGGGGCACGGCTTGGAGTGGGGGTGGGAAGAAGGGCAAGGAGCAGCAGGAGACACGGCAGGAGCAGCAGGAGACACGGCAGGAGCAGCAGGAGACACGGCAGGAGCAACGGGAAGAGCAGGAGCAGGAGGACGCGTCCTCCATTCCTCCATCAGAGCCAGGCAAGAGCGACTCCACGCCACTCCCTTCACTCCCTTCACCCGCTTCCTCTTCATCACCACCACCCTCGACAGCAACCATGGAGCCCGACTTTGCGAGCGACCACAGCAGCGTCGTCAGCACGAGCGATAAAGTGTTGCCCTCTGAATCAGAGGCAGACGAAGCCATGGACATGCAAAAGTACCGCCTGCCCGACATCACCAAGCCCAAGACCCTCAACACACCCGTCCCTCCAGCAGAGACCAACACGACAAACACCACCGACACACCGCCCTCTCGCGCACCCACTCCACCCCCCAAAGACACGCCACCCATTCCCCCCGCAGAAGAAGCCTCTGTCCTCGATGACCACAACGGCATCGACATCGCCTCGTACTTTGAGAAGCGCCAGCTGCATCGCGCAAACTCCATCTACACCCTCTCCAAAGCCAGCTTCACCAACCAGATTCAGCAATTGACGTCGATGAAGCTGCCGCCCACCACCATTGCTTCCGAAATCACCGCCCTTGCCTCGTCGACGCTCGCTGGCCGTGCGCTACACAAGGCTGCACATGACATCATGCTGTGGATAGCAAAGACCAAGGAAGTTCTCCATGGTCTCGACGCCGAAGACGACGTCGAGTGGGCCGCCGCTGCTGGAAGAGAGGGACTGGCCGAGGTGGACGCGGCCATTGGCAAGTTCGAGGGCCTCGTCACCGTCTACATTACCGCCATTGAGGATCTGCAGGCGCGGCCAGATATTGCCGCCCTGCCGTCCAAGGACCAGGCCACGCTCGTCTCACAAATGGAGGACATTGTCAGCAATTGGTCGGAGATCAAGCAGACGCTCAAGGGCATCAAGAACCAGGTGGAGATTGCCATGGAGTGGGAAGAGCTGTGGAACAATGTCCTGGGCGAGATTGGATTCGAGGTCGAGAACCTCAGCCGCTTGGTCTTTGAGATGGAAGAGCGCAGGCACCGCGTCATATCCGATTCGATTGCCGAAGCCCCAGAGAAGTTTGACATTGCCGAGCTCGAGACGATTGTCGAGGAGACGCCGAGAAAGGCGAGGATGATGAACAATCGGTTCAGTATGCCGTTGCCGCCTACGCTCTCGGTCCAGTCGCCCATCTCGCCGATCCCTCAGATTGAGCAGGAGAACTCGCGGCTGCTGGCACTGTTTGCAAAACTACAGCCACTTCGCGCGAGCCTAGACTTTCTGCCCATGCGCTTGACGGCCTTCCAGATGCGGGCAAGCTCCCTCTTCCCATCGGCATGTGACGAGTTGAATCGGAGAAAGGAGCAGCTGGAGGAGCAGGAGAAGAAGCTGGAGGCGGAGGCGGATGCGCTCAGAGAAGAGCTGGGCGAAGACAAATGGGTCCACAGCTTCCGACAGGCAGGAAGCAAGGCGGTTGCCATGTATGAGTCGTGCATGAAGAGCATTGACCGGCTCACGCAGGCCATTCAGGACAATGACGAGGAGAAGCTGCCGGCCCGTATTGCGACGTACAAGGACAAGAAGAGTCATTATCCGCCTTCGATGCGGCGCGTGTTGGAACTGATTGACATTGAGATGAAGCACAGATCGACGGTGAATGGTGAGATTTTGCGGATACAGCAAGATGTCCGGAGCAAGGTGACTGATCTGGAGAATGTGACCAAGGACATGGACGCGGTGCTGGCAGACTTTACAGCCTCTCGCAAACTCCGGGATTCCGTGTCTACCGTCCTGTCTGCTCGTACAGAGGCGTCGTCGGCTCGCGAGACGCCGAATAGCTCCCCGGCATCGAGCGTCGTCTTGAGCCGCAAGAGCAGCGATTACAGCAATCTCCGGCTCTCTAGCCAGAAACCGCGACAGTCCAGCTTTGCAACGCCACGCTCGTCGCTGGCACCAGATAACCGTCGCTACTCGAGCATCAACCTCGGACCCTCGGGCCCGTCCTATAGTGTTCCCAAAGCGCCCCTCAACCGCCTCGACCTCACACCCTCACGCGCTGGATCATCGACGCCGACACGCCACTCACGGATTCCACAGACGGAACGGCCGGCCGTTAAGCCGCGATGGAGTTCAGATGTCAAGGTACGGGACTCCCCATCGGCAATCAACTTGAAGCCTTTGGCTACCCCGACAACGTCGATGCAACGGGCGGGGACACCGGATCGCCTGTTGCGCTCTGTGAGTGGGCAGAGCGGTATTCCTGTCAAGAGTCCGCTGGGCAAGAGTGCACCGAGTCCGCAATCCGGTTCGAGTTGCAGGTTGAGCGCAGGACGACCGTCTGCGAGCCCGGTGACGCCTGCTGGAAAGGGCAAGACGCCCATGTCTGTAAAGCGACAGAGTCTTGCTGTTGGTGTAGGCAGTCGCATGACCCACGAAGACGGCGAAGAGACGGACAAGAAGGAGCAAGGGGCGGAAAGTCCGGCGGCGAGACGCACAGCACGGCCGATGAGCGTCATGGATCGACGACGGACTAGTTTACTCCCGACGTTGAAGCAGAGGAGTCCTAGTGCTGCGGCTGTGGCGAAGACGAAGACGACGCCAGAGAGGGGGACGGGGAGTGCAAGTCGGATGGGCAAGAGTGTGGGCGAGGGCAGGGCGAGTGCGGCGAGCGGGAGAATGTCGAGTGCAGGCGAGAGACCAAAGTGGAAGTAGGAGACGTCAAGGATGATGGCTTTTTTTGGAGGGAGGGAGGGAGAATGGAAGATGGCAGGTCAGGGTACAGACTATGAAGAATTGGAGACTTTTTTCCCCTGCCCCTTTGGAACTCGTTTCCAGATGTCTTGACTTTTTTTTTTTTTCTCTTCTCGCTTTTTCGCGGGACTCGCGGTTTGAGACTGCGTCTTTTTGGGTCTGGGGGTTTGTGGGGGTTTTTTTTCGACGACGAGGATTTGTGCGTTTGGGTCTTGTCTTGTCCTCTACGCTTTCGCGTGTTTACAGTTTAGATTGATTGTCGGGCCTGTTTTCGTCGGATGCGGGTTGTGCTTGGTTTCTTCGGTGAGCGTTTTGGGGCGTGTTTGGGTGTGGTGGGGTGTGGTGGGGTGTGTGTTTGATTTTTTTTTATACCCTTTTCTTTTTTTGTAGGTTTTTTTTGGAGGGTTTTGAGGGGAGAAGGGGAAGGGCGGGGTTGGGAAGTTGGGTGGGCGGTGGGGGAATGAAGGAGGAGAGGAGAGGAGAGGAGAGCAAATAGTAGCCTGACCCAATAGAAATACAATTTTTTTTTAAAAAAATTTATTATATCTTTGTGAAAGAAGATGGTGTTTTGTTGTGAGTTAAGGCTTTTTGTTGCCCTGGGATTCGTTTATCTGTCTTGTTTCCGTCTTCCATCCCCTTCACAACCCCTTCACAACCCCTTCACACACACCCACCCCACAGCCCCATCTCATCGCATCATCACCCCTCTTCCCATCCCATCTACACACCACAACCACAACCACAACCGCAAACTTGAACATACGCACAAGCACAAGCACAAGCACACTCGAGATACCCATTCCTGAACCTCGACGCGTCGTTTTGGTCAGACATGTCTGGTTGTCTGGTTTGCGGTGTGTGGGGCTGTGCTGTGGATTGTGAGAGCGGGGTTTGTATGTCTTGTGCGGGGTTTGGGGAGGGGTTTTATGTTGGCGGTGAAGGGGAGGGAGGGGGGGATGTATAGAGACAAAAGGACAAGGGGAAAGACACTTCAGGCGGGTGAGGTATCTGGATTAGTCTAGTACGGAGGGGTTTCACTAGAGGATAAGCGACGGGTTGGAAAGGTGAGTGATGCTGCAAGTCGTGGTGATTGAGGGATGAGATGGGTAAGTTGGGGATTGAAATCCCTTGAAAAGCCGATGCTAAATCCAACCATTCAAGACTCCAATATTCGCCTGAAAAGAGCTCTGCACTGCGATGAAATCCCCAGCCTCCCCTCTACCAAACTCGCTCATCTGATTAACCCCTTTGGCCCACCCCATCGCCCCTCTACATGATACTTGCCATACACCCAGGGGAAAAAATCCCTCTTGAGGTAGAAAAACGCTCTACGCGGCACACTCTGATCGATGCCCAACACCGTTCCAAACGTCTCCTGCGGCACAAATCCGTACAGAAACTCGGCGAGCATCACCTTGTTCTCGCCCGTCAGCAGCGGACACGACGTGTATCCGTTATAACGGGCTGGTAGGTCTTTGCCGTGCATGGCGGACAAGAGGTTGGATACAAGGACCGGCGCTTCGGCGGTAATGGCAGCCACGGTCTTGGAAGTCGGGAGGGAAGACGCATCACCAATCGACCACACGTTCTTGTACGTCTTGTGCTGCGTTGTGGCGTCGTCGACGTCGACGTAGCCTGCGGGGTTGGCGAGCGCGCTGGCCTTGACAAACGCGTGGGGCACGTTTTTGGGCGAGACGTGGAGGAAGTCGAAGTGTTTTTGGACGTTGGGCTGGCCGTCGGGTCGGGCAAATGTTGCCGTGTTGCCGTCGATGGCGACGAGGTCGTGTGTAAAGAGGCCGTCGACGCCGCGCTCTACGCGAAGCTTTTCGAGCGCGGCGGCGTATTTGGGTACGCCGAACATGGTTGGTAGACCGGTTGCAAAGGAGAGGTTGATGTTTGAGTCTTTGGCTGTCGAGTAGAGCCCGGCTTTCTTCCAGTAGTCGAGGGCGAGCCACATGATTTTTTGTGGCGCACCGGCGCACTTGACGACGCCTGCTGGCTGGGTGAACAACGCGTCGCCTTTTTTGAACTTCTGCATGTTGGCGTAGGCCTTGTCGCAGTAGTTGTAGTCGTAGATGCTAGATACCAGGGCATCTGGATTACTCAACGCCTCTGGAAGACCCTTGACGGTGGTGTGATCAATCGTGATACCGGGAACAACGACCAAATGTTCATAATTCAATCTCTCGCCATGAGCCAAAGTCACTTGGTTTTCCTCTGGACTGAAGCTGCCGACGGCAGTCTGGTAGAATTTGAATTTCGGATTCATCAGCTCCTTCAGCGGTCTTCGCAAATCTTCCTTCTTCTTCAGACCGCCGCCAACGAGGGTCCAGCCGGGTTGGTAGTGATGCCATGTCGCGGGGTCAACAATGGCAATGTCGTCTTGCTTGAAGGGTCCTTTGCGGAGAAGTTGGTGGGACAGTGCTATTCCGGCCGAGCCGCCACCAACGACGACGACTTTGTGGGAGCGGGTGGAAGACAGTGTGGGTGACACCGTTGCCAGGCCACGAATGGTTTGAAGTGAGGGCCGCATGATTAGTCAACCGCGGGAGGGAGGGACGGTATCAGACTCCACAACAACGCTCTCGTACTCTTTCCAAAGAGTGTGCTGGAAAAGACCGTGGTGAAAGAGAGAGCGATTGTCGGTTTTGTTAGCAGCGAGAAAATATAAGACGTGAGGATATAATAGACGGAAGCTCGCGCAAACCTCTCGGTCCGTCGACCATTTTTTGATTGTCCTGCGGTGCCCCACTTTTTACCGTGCGCTAAGACCAATCTGAGACGATGCCAACGCAACATGGCTTGGACTGAGCCTCTTGCAATGGCATCATCTTTAGGGCAAAGGCTGGCGAAAGAATGACATGTCGGCATTGCCTATGGGCTTGTTCCATGTACTTTGTCCAAGGCAGTATATTTGCATCTAAGAGATTTCTGCGTCGAAAATGTATAAAAAGATGAACTATTCAGCCGCAGAGTATGCTTTCATAATCAACAATGCCAATACCGGAAAGACTTGCCGCTGACTCCATACCACTGGGAGTCGTATCGATAATAATGTCCTTGCTATTCCAGTTTCTGATATTCCAATTCCATCTCGAATGTTCAGTTAGATAATACGCTGGCATCATCCACACCTACTATTCCAGCCACGCACGATTGTGCAATTGCTGTGAACATGATTGAATGCGAGTCTGCGATATTTCCAAAGCCACAAACGGCCAATTTTGCATTGGCGATTAATGTGAACAAAGTGTGTTTAAAAAAAACCCATGGTGCATCTGGCTGAACTCGCATTTGGACGCTCATGACTCTACTGGTCCTGCGGTTCGCACCATATAGCGCATCTACCCGAACATGCCCATCTTCTAAAACCTCAACCACTGGAATAGCATCCTTCGCCCTCTACACCATACGTAGTTCCATTAATCTGACAGTGATGCGATCAGCTTCAACTGCAGTCAGCCTCAATCCGATATACCAGGTCATGGTAGCGCGACGGTACCAGACCCCCTTACGTCTGACAAGGATGCACATCCTACAACTGTACGAAGTCCTTCTCATTCCCAGCATTGTGCCCACAGTGCGATCATTTGACAGTAATGAAGACCTCTCCATCTGGATATCCGTGCCTGCATTCGCAAATAGGAGCGTGAGTTACATGTCGGAACCCGTATCAAAGGAATCTTGGCTAGGGAGATCTCTATAGGGCACTCCAGAGATATGCTACCTGGTGACTGGGAGGCGCATAAAGCTATCATCTGTCAAGTCCAGCATATAAGCAGAGTATCTTTCGAGGATTGACAGTGGAGCATCCAGTGATGAATCAGCTCTAAGATTGTGTCTATCTCCTTGAGAAGAATCAGATCATGATAAGTCTTCTGCCACCTAACAGCAGCGGCTTGCTTTACACATGGGGGGTGCAATCTTGGCAAAACCATTCCTGTCGTTCAATGTAAAAAAGCATGGTATGTGTTCAAATAGAAAAGTTGGTCATCCCAGAAGGCGTGTCCCACAAGGCGTCCCATGAAAAGTCAAAGGCATTCGGATCCAGTATGTCAGACAATAGGAAATTCGTATCATCGAAGTTTGGCATGGGCTGCAGCTGATTTCCATGGCCATTTGCAGCCACACTCGTCACTTCGCTCTCCGATGGCGGAGGCGGCTCTCGCGCATTCAGCGACGCAATCCTCGAAACGGGATCCGCGCAACGTTCGAGGCAATAGATTGCAATATCCCAGTCGTAGTTGTCCCGCGCATATTGGATATGCGCAATCACGCGTTCCAGTCGCGATACCGACGTGTTTCTAATCTCCGGGTCTTGGGTCTCGACGGTGCAGCGCAGGGATACCGTGATGGCGTGCACGAGCAGGTGTGTGGCGTATGGCAACCAGAAGTCTTGGAATTGTATCTCGCCTAGGGTTAGAATGAAGTCGAGCACGGCTGACGATGCGATACGAAGCTGCTCCATGCGATCACGGCTCAGGTTGCTATCGCCTTCAAGTACAGCGGAGCGGATGATCAAGCGAGCCAGGACGAGCCTGATGGAAAGGAAGGAAAGCCACAGCATGGGTGTACCGGGCCGGTTTGGTAGAGGAAGCCATTCCGGTAGCTGTGCTTCAAGTTCGATAAGGATCCGCTTGAAGCGATCGATTTCTCTTGCTAAATGAATTCGATCAGGGTTGATGTGGTAGACCCATGGCAAGATTTGTCCAAGCAGTTCAGTCAGCCCGCAGAGGTGCACAAAGCAAGTTGTCGCCACTTTCTGTTGCGCGGTCGCCTTTGGACTGATGAGTGAATTTACTGTTGGTCTAGGAACGTCGTAGTTCCCGCCAGTGATGAACGGAGGCAAGCCATACGCTACACTCGACCAATGATCGTTTATCAAGACGCACCACCAGAGTCGCGTTCGTATCTGCTTTTCATTTTCTGTGATATTCCACTCGAGGCAGGAGCGATGCAGGCCAAAAGTCAGAGCAAGCGATACAGTCTTGCCGCACAAAGTGATGTTTCCCATAATGGAAACCGAAGGGCGCCCAATTTGATCGAGGATGGCAGCTTGGATTGTTGACAAGCCTGGACTGAGGAAATCTTCTAGGTTTGCCGATATGGCCTTGTTCCAAACATAATGAGTATCTGGTCGAGGGTGCATCTTGAGCGTATCGGACTTGTTCCAATGCGGTGAGCCCAATGCGTAAATAACACACATCAGATTGTTTGGGATCTTGGAGAACTGTCCGCTCCGCAGCGTCTCGCACGTCTCGTCATCAAGAATCGGAAAGTGGTAGTGAATGTGTGGAAAATAGAGCTCTACAACCTCCCGCTTGAATGGACCTATGATCTGCTCGAGTATTTCATGCTGAGCCCTACCACACCCACTGTTAGGGGGCAAGCCGGTTCTAAATCTGGGCACCGTGAGATAAACAACCGGGTCCTTGCTATCATGCAGCAGAGTCTGATAGCTGGACGTCTCGGTCGCTTCACCGCCGGGTTTACGGTGCTGGAGAATGTGACGATTGAAGATGTCAACATCCTCGGCTAAATGAGGGGCTAGCATGATAGAAGCTGAGGGATTGTTGGAGGTCTTGTGTAAGATGGGCGCTGACTGCGGTCTGGAAATGCCATCGCCAGGCTGACTATGTCGTCGCCGCTTGGACGGCCGACGTTCACCGCCTTCTTCAGTTGGAGAGTTGTTGGACGAGCCTTCGATGTATTGGCATTTGAGTCGTCGCTCTCGACAAGACAGACATGGTTCTCCAGGTATATCGATATGGCAGCGAATCTTCCGGGACCGACACCTAGTGCAGGCTGGGACTTTGTGTGAACGGTACGGCCGGGTCTGAATGGGCGTGGCGCTGGCCATCAATGGACGAAGAGCACTCGCCGTCAGCCTCGAGTTAGTAGATCTCACGTGTCCGCTGCAGTATGCTCAGGGAAAACTGTGGCTTTGCTTCAGTTCTGTCGCTTTGAGATTAAGGATGTTGAGATGAGAAGAAAAGTGGTTTGGTGCTACATGACTAGACTAGCTATGTACCTCGTGCTATCGGACCAGTAGCTCTTGCTGCTAACGTTAACCAGTTAGTCGGCCCCACTATCCTTGTTGATTACTGTGCACGTATATTACACTCTGTCCAGTTGCCTTTTCTCTCGCACGTGCTTCCTGCTCTGCAATACACACTACATGGAACCAGACAACACGTGAGCCTGGGGTGGTAAGAAGTGATTCAAATCTTGTCCCATCCTGGCTTAGCGCAATCTACCCCATGCTTAAACCGACGTCGCCCGCTTCAGGATAGTGCAACTTCAAAATTTCTGTTTCTGAACCATCAACAATCATGGGGTTCACTCAATTGAACGAGATCGAGCTTCCAGCGGCGTTCGATGCCCATGTACATTTGCGAGATGGCGAGATGGCGCAACTTGTCACACCTACAATTCGCAAGGGTGGTGTCAATCAGGTGTATGTCATGGTAAGCGATCATCCTCCCACTACACGTGACTCGATCTTGAATCTTGTCAATTTCATGTTTGCCCACTTGGTTTCTACATCATGGAAGTGTGATAGAAATATATTCTAAATGCATAAAATAGCCAAACCTCGTCCCGCCCATCACTACAGTGCAGCAATGCCTCGAGTATCGTGACAGATTGCGGGCCATCGAACCGAATGTCGACTACCTGATGTCTCTATATCTCCATGAGTCTATTACTCCAGAAGTGATTCGTGAAGCAAAAAAGGCAGGCATCACTGGTGTCAAATCTTACCCTGCTGGTGTAACCACTGTACGTTTAAAAGGTCGGGACTTGAAAAATGTACATACTAAATCAACCAGAATTCTTCCTCTGGTGTCCTCGACTACGAAACCTTTTATCCCGTCTTTGCTGAAATGGAAAAACAAAACATGGTTCTCAACCTCCACGGCGAAGTTCCTTCCACTCCTGCCCACGCTGCCGTATCCTCCAGATCTGGCCCGGCCATCACCATTCTCAACGCCGAGCCCGCCTTCCTCCCTACCTTCAGCGCCCTACACGAGCGCTTCCCCAACCTCCGCATCATCCTCGAACACTGCAGCACGGGCGCCGCTCTCTCCGCCGTCCGCGCCTGCGGCCCCACCGTGGCTGGCACAATCACTGCCCACCACCTCTCCCTCGTCATCGACGACTGGGCCGGGGACCCCTTTTGCTTCTGCAAGCCTGTTGCCAAGACGCCCGAGGACCGGGACGCCCTGTTGCAAGCCGTGGTCGGTAGCCAGGGGCGTTTCTTCCTAGGCACGGATTCCGCGCCTCATCCCAGCGTCAAGAAGAGAGGAGAGGATAAAGTGGCAGCAGGGGTGTTTACGCAGCCGTATGCGGTGGGCTATGTGCTTGATGCCCTAGCGATGGGGGTGCAGAGGGGTGTTATAAGCGAGGACGAGGTTAGCCAGGAGATGTTGGAGGGTTTTTTTGGGAACTGGGGGCGTAGGTTTTACGGGGTTGGGGATGGAAGCGGGGAGAGGGTTTTGTTGAAGAAGGGGGTGGAGACGATCGATGAAGTGTTGAGAACGGAGGGGGTGGGGGTCGAGGTTGTGCCGTTTAGAAGAGGGGAACAGACTTGGGGTGTGCAGTGGAAGTAGGCCCGTGTCTGCAAGGCTACAGGGCGTCTCTTTGCTCGGTAGTAGAATGTACATGGACTTATCATTGATTAAATTTACATGACTCGTTTTAGGACGTGAATAGTAGTACCGAGGATGATCAGATTTCGATTTATTCTGCGACTTGTTTTTCAGGATCAATGATTGTTGCAGTGTTTGTTGTAACAAAGGTAGCCGAGGTCACAATGGCTATGACGTCATCCATTCACTCTGTTGCTCCCGCTACTCCCGCTCATCCACCCGCAGATGTCTAGACTACATACACTATCACTTCCACCGTGCCCCAAAGCCCGGAAGCCACCCCCTCCCTAAAAACCTTCAACAACACAAACCCTCAATCCATCCCAGCCCCCCAAACTGATCCAACAATGCCCCCCACTACCACCACACCCATCCCAACCCTCCACTCCAAATCCGACTACCTCCGCGCCATCACCCACGAAGGCGTCACCATCCTTCAAGGCACCGCCACGTGGTGCGAAAAATGCAAACTCATCGCGCCTGAGGTGCAGAAGATGGTGGCCGAGTACCCAAACGTGCGGTTCTACACGTACGATGTGGAGGAGTGCGAGGACATTGCGCAGGAGTTGGGGGTCCGGCAGATGCCGTCATTTAGTGTGTTTAAGGATGGAGATATTCAGGAGGGGGTTACGGGGGCGAGGGCGGGGGAGGTGAGGAGGGCGATTGAGGGGTGTTTGTAGGGTGGGGAGCGGAGGGAGGTGGGCTTGTGAGGAGAGGTTGAGAGTACTGGTTTTGATCTGAATGTCCAATGGAAGTGAGCTGTCTTAGAGAGTAACAAGTGCTGAATTGAACTCTTTTTTTTTACACCAGACCATCAGCGTGTTCGTGATGATCAGTCTTTGATGACGCTTCAACCGAAGCAAACGCGGTTCCTGAAAAAGCAACAGCATCAATTGAGGTGCGGGAAAATAAAAGCAGGGGCTGATAGCGTTGCTCTCCAAACATTGTCCATGATATGGATCATGATTACTGCATCTGTCTGCTTGGAAACATATGGGAACCGATGACGAGATCACACGCGACCATCGTAGACAAGTAGTGGACCATTATGGCCATGTTGAAGAATCACAAGTACAGATCCTGTGCGCATTTGTGTATCACATGCTACGAATATCAAGCGCACAGAGTAAATCCTACTGTCTATAAGTTCGCTATTACTGTCCTTGTATTTCCGTGCATCACAATCGCCCACACGTTGGGCCTCGCTACTATATATACAACTTGTCGCGATATCAATATCCCATCAATATCCCAGCGTATATATCCCGCAAAGGGGTGGGGTGGGAGTGTTCACTTTTGCCTCTAAGATGTCGGTGCTTTCTGAGGATGCGGTCGGTGTGGAGCAGAAGTTCGCCGAAGACGGAGGGCAGGAGGTGGTCTTTGCCGACGAAGAAGAACCAGAGCAGACACCTTCGGCAAAAAAGGGACATCACAGTCTTTACTCAACGCTATAAATCGGTCACGAGACCACGAACCTCTCACGGTAGAAGACTACATCTCACACATGTCTCAAGATTCAGCGATGCAGAACGTGGGCAACAGGAATGATCGTGGAAAGGCCGTGGCACCAAGCCACCGCACCTCAAATAACCGTCTACATGCGGTATGTGAAACGCCCAGATTGGCCCGTAGGTTACGTCCAGTAGCCCGCTGTAGCCTCATGTCTTACGTAGTCGTGGGGATTTTTCAATTGGTGTTTCCCAGACAATGCCAGCAAAGAACTGGACGATTGACGATGGCGAATCTTTCTGCAATGCTTCACGCCACAGCTGGCTCACCGGCGACCCAACAAGAACTCGTTGTCCACGAGCTGGAGAAGGCATTATTAGTATTAGGCGCAAAATATCAGTCCTCCGCGAAATCGAGCTAACAGAGAAGTATGTTGCTGGTGGGCTTATCTCATATGGGACTTCTATACCGTACATGACTGTCGAAGAGAACCAGTGATCAGGATGATATGCGCAATCTTGTGCCCAGATGGCCAATCAGACATGCCACAGGCAATAAGAAATGACCTGAGTCCGGATAAGCGCGATGTACAACAGAAATGGGGTGTTCTGAATGTGATGACGAAGACATTCGTCGTCAGGAAAAGGGAGCCAGTGAATTACATACACTCCCAACGACTGCAAATCAACTGGGCATTGATATTCACCTCAATACCTACGTCTATACTGTCTAGTCACAATATATATTCGATAAAACTATTCTTCACCGCAGGAGTCCCTAGGCGCTAACATGACAAAGTACATTACTTACTCCCAATACAACCAAGTCTTCAACATCGATCTTCCTCGTAGCATAGTCCTCACTGTAATGCCAGGCTCAACCATTAGGTATACGTCCACGGCCTAGCGTCTTTACAGATATACTTTGGTGTTCGTGATGTCACAGAAGGAAGGCTTGGGTCGATACGCGCGAGCTGTGAAAACCGTGTCCGTCCGTCTTGCATATATCAGTTGACGAGCTCCCATTAATTGGTGTGTCGTGCCAGGTAATCACATGGTTCAGATCAAGTCAGAGAGAATTGAAACTTTACGCGTGAAGTTTTGGGGGACAGCCAAAATCTCGCGTCGTCTTCTTTGGGGAAGGTAGAGCGCTCGAAGTCGGTCGGCCGCCTACCGGTGCTTCCATTGCAGTTTCCTTCTCTTGCTTATTATGTCGTTTTTGAATTCTAACATGACGAGATGGCAGGTACGGGCCTGAGGGAGTGGGGTATCTATATCTTCTGCATCTGCTCTTGATTCCTTTTCTTCTTCTTCTTCTTCTTCTTCTTCTTCTTCTTCTTCTTCTTCTTCTTCATCATCACTAGGACCTGTGGTTACAAACGACAACAGTAAGTGCATTGATTGTCTTTCAGCATTGGTGTCTCACGTATCAATGTTCTACTCCACCATTCCCCTGCGTCTCACCTATTATCTTGGCCTGAATTGTCCCATTCCGTGTATGTACAAGGTCCTCCTGTACAAGGTGACACCACGCCAAAGTGGTGTGTCGAGGAACTAGAGAAACAGGATGGCGTTTACATGAAGAGAGTAGACAGCTCATGATAGACTTTTGAGCTGAGCTCTCGGTCTGTTGACACTCCATGTAGTTTGTTAGCATCCTAGGCAGTTTTTCAAGCTCCCCCGCCATTTTCCGATGCGTGGCGCAGTTTGCTGTACCCACAGTCTCACATGTGACAGCCCAGTCTCTACCGTGAACTTGCAGGTAGAATCGGACGCTCAAAGTCATGGATAGTGTGTATATAGATTAACAAAGGCTGTACCGGTATGAGCAACTGTGGCAGTCAAAGGCAGTGGATTGATGATATTCCACTTCAGACTCCGAATGCAATTCACACGCTCGGTCCAAATACCAGCTCACTAGCGTAAATCCCTAGCTGTAGGTTTGCATCACCATACCATACATCTGGCATGTCCAAGCCAGCCCGAGCCAATTCCACTCCGTCTCAAGAAAAACACACAAATCAACGCCGAGTCTCGCGTGACCATGGTCTGGAAATGCAATGCCAACGCCAGTATGTAAACTCGCCCAGAGCAACAGCAGCAGCAGCAGCAGCAGAAAGGGGCAAAACAAAAAGGAAAAGATCCACGTTACTCACGCTGAATGAACAGGTCCATTTGTACACATTGAATGACAGGCCAATTGCACATGAGATCATACTCGGAATCCCCACCAAGAATCCACCAATGCATCAGCCAAGCAACCTAGGCGCATTCCCCTTGCCCTTCTTCTGCACACCTCGAGGCACAAACATGGCCGGGGACACGGCAACCGGTGCCGCAGAATTAGCATGTCCCTTGTTATCCCGATGATTCCTATTCTTACTATTCTTGCCACGATTCTTGTCGTGCTTATCCTCGCGCTTGACAACGGCCTTGACTTCCGACGTCGCTCGCTTGATGAGGACGGGGTGGCTGCCGATATATTTTCCCTGCATTTCCTTGGCGGCGCGGAAGTAGTCGTCTGTGTCTGCGAAGCTTACGAAGCCGTAGCTTTTGCTTTTGGTGGACTTTTTGTCGCGCACGACGCGTGCTTTGGAGAGGGAGGGGTACTTTGCAAAGGCTTTGAGGAGGGATTCGTCTGTGACTTCGCCTGCGAGATTGCCGATGAAGAGTCGGGGGTGTAGAGGGTTCCATTCGAGTAGCGTCTCGTCCTCCCATTGCTTTCCACCTCCTTCGCGTATGACGGTCTTCTTTTTGCCTTCGGTCGCGGCCCCCGTCTCGACGTCGGTTGTTGCGGCGGCCTCGGGGCGAAGGCTGGCGGCTGTGCTGCTGCCTTTTTTTGTATTCGCGTCTTCCCTGTTGTATGCGCTCGTCCACTCTGCGATGCGCGCCTCCTCCTCGGGGTCAAAAGTACCAGCAACGCCACGAGTCACGGGCGGAGCGACGGGATAAGATGCGGCTGGGGCAGCTGATGCATATGCTGGGTATGAGTAGTTGTTGTAAGTACTGCTGGCCGGATAAGTGGGTGCCTGATATGGGGCGCTCACAGAGGCTTGCGGGTAGCTGGGCCTGGGCGCAGCTGCTTGTGGAGGAGCATGAGCGACGACTGAGCGGGGTGTGAAGCCAGCAAAGGCTCGGGGGCCAGCATGATTCGGTCGTGAGGGTGGCGCAGCGTAGGTGGATGGCGGTGGACGTGCAGGCAGTGAATGGTGAGGTTGCAGATTGGCGTCTCTGTTGGACATTGTGGCGGAGGACTTGCTCGTCAGTTCAGATTAACGCTAGCGAGGTGATGACTTAACCAGCTACGTGGAGAGATGCGCGTTGCTCTCGTTGGGGTAGATGGTTGAGGGTGTTTTGCGCCGTAGTACTAGTGCAAGGTAGTAGGCTGCAAGGAACTGTCGCAAGCGCGGGCGCGTTTCACGAGGGGGGGGGGGCGGGGATAAAGTGAAACGCGGTCCAGGGAAGACAAAAGTGTGTGAAAGAAAACGGGGTGCCCGCCCTGGGGGCCCCATAAACCTGGGGGGCGGGAGGGTCCAGGTAGGGCAAGTGAAAATTTATTAATGCCGCAGCGGTTGCGCAGGCTGAGAGGTGCGGCCAGATGCTGACTACAAAGGCTTGGTCGTGGTGGGGGGGGGTCTTTTTTTTTTTTTTTTGGCTGAAGCTGAAAAGTGGTGGGTCGGGATGTTTCTTGGATGTGAATGGAGGGGGGTTTGGGTGGGATGACGGGCCGGTGCAAAGTGGAAATTACCGTTGAGGGTGTGTGTAATAGTTTCGTTGAAGTGGTAATCAATCAATCAAGCAAGTCTGTTTTCTGTTGGGGTGAAGGAAGTGGTTGCAAGGTTACTCTAGTCGAGTCGAAGGGAGCGGCTTGGCACTTTCGCACAACGAGAGACCAACCCATCCATGGCGGCCCACGTCACGTGACCGTTGTGTCAGTGGACTGTGCAGCTCTGGGCCCGTCCGTCAGCGCCAATACTAGAGGAGACACAACTGCACTTGGAGTGGAACAGAAAGATGGGCAAAGAGGATTGGGTGACGGTATCCGCCCCAGCCAATGACTTCAGAAGAAGGATGGCTCTACTCTAGTACACAGTCCTTGCTTGGTACGTAGTAGGTGTTTATGAAGCATCTCCTAGAGTAGAGTAACGAGGTATAGTCCTAGGACGGTATATGATACGCTGCATGCACAAACAAAATTTGCAGCCCTTCTAGCGCGTCCGATGATGCCGATGCCGATGCGCCATGGTGCCCGCCCCTCCATCATAACGCCATCACTAGTAGAGTAGTGTAGAGTACTGGAGTTTGGCTGGCAGGGCTGAAATGAATCGAAGGGGGCTCCATTGATTTTCAACTAGAGAACATAGAACATGCCACCGGACATGTTAGTATGTTGTACATACGTACTCGGTTGGAAATGATGCAGGCTTGGCATGGCTGACTAACCACCATCTCCATGGCGCTGTTCCTGTCACTCAACATGAGCACATCTCTCTGCCTCTGCGGCAAAAGGAATAGACCATTGTGTAGAGAACGTGTGCTGCAAGTTGTTGTTGTTGTTGTTGTTGTTGTTGCTGAGGTGGACCAGTTGGTGTCAACTGGTCAGAGTGCCATTGGTGTCAACTGGACTGTGTCAACTGGACAGAGTGCCATTGGTGTCAACTGGATAGAGTGCCATTGGTGTCAACTGGATAGAGTGCCATTGGTGTCAACTGGATAGAGTGCCATTGGTGTCAACTGGATAGAGTGCCATTGGTGTCAACTGGATAGAGTGCCATTGGTGTCAACTGGACTGGAGTGCAGCGTACACAAGAGTGCCATTGTACACCACAGGATGAGACCTGAGACCATCCATCTACCTCATTGCCATCAGCGCAAAGGGCGTGGACTTATCCCCGCGGCCGAAGCCCACCCCACCGTCACCACTGCCACTGCGTATACTCTATGCGTTTGGTAGCCGGTAGGGATGGCGAGGGAACGTGCTGCTTTGGGGCATTGCGCCCATTTCGCCTTTCGACGTGACGCATTAGTGCCCCGCTCTCCTCTTGCCAGTCTTCCGGCTCGGAGAACTGCCTTACAACTTATCATTGCGCGACCCCCACCATCCAACTCCCTCTTCCGGCCTCTGTTCCTTCTCAACCTCACCAGCTTTTCTTCAAGCCACCCCTCCCCTCCCTCCCCTCCCCATTCCCATTCCCATTCCCATTCCCATTCCCATTCCCATTCCCATTCTCGGTTGCACGCCAGGCCCGCTGCAAACTGTCACCCCACCAACTACTACCACACCTCCCCTACTACCAAATCAAACCAACAACCACCATGTCCACCGAGGCCGTTGGAGACTTTGGCCTGATCGGTCTGGCCGTAAGTGTCTCCCTACCATCAGGCGCATGCCTGCACCTACACCGCAGCCTTGGGTTTCGTCCTTCTTCCATGGCCTTTGCGAAAAAGTAAACGTGGAGGAGGGCATGCACGCCAATCTGCCTTGCTCTACTACAACAGTCTGCAAGACTATTCTTGACCATACGGAGAAATTATATTGACTTGCCCTCTCTGCGCAGGTTATGGGCCAGAACCTGATCCTCAATGCGTATGCACCCACTCATCGCTCAAAAATCTCCACGAGCAATACTGACATGGCGCAGCGCCGATCACGGCTTCACAGTCGTTGCCTTCAACCGAACGTATGCGCTTCGAAAACGTCACAGGGAAAAGCGAGAACTAACAGACTGCCAGCGTTGCCAAGGTCGACCGCTTTTTGGCCGATGGTAAGGAGACCTGTTCATAGACGGTAAAAAAAAAGTGGAAAAAACACGGACAGCTGACATGCCGCAGAGGCCAAGGGCAAGTCCATTGTCGGTGCCCACTCCATCAAGGAGTTCGTCTCGAAACTCAAGAAGCCCCGCCGCATGATGATGCTCGTCATGGCTGGCAAGCCCGTCGACGACTTCATCGAGCTCCTTCTCAACGAGGGTGGCGTCGAGGAGGGCGACATCATCATCGACGGTGGCAACTCGCACTACCCAGACACGAACCGCCGCACAAAGTACCTGGCCCAGAAGGGCATCCGATTTGTCGGAACCGGTGTCTCGGGAGGTGAAGAGGGTGCTCGCTACGGACCTAGCATCATGCCTGGTGGTAACGAGGACGCTTGGCCATACATCAAGGTACAATGGCTGCAAGAGGGCTATGGTACTGGCTAGCTAACAACGCCTCAGGATGTCCTCCAGTCCATTTCTGCAAAGTCTGACGGCGAGGCCTGCTGCCAATGGGTCGGTGACGAAGGTGCCGGTCACTACGTCAAGATGGTCCACAACGGTATCGAGTACGGTGACATGCAGTTGATCTGCGAGGTGAGATGGGCGAATCAAAAAAGTTTCAATTCAGCAGCAGCTAAACCAGTCACTAGGCTTACGACATCATGAAGCGTGGTCTGGGCATGACCAACAAGGAAATGGGCGACGTCTTCGCGCAATGGAACACCGGTGTCCTCGACTCTTTCCTCATCGAAATCACTCGCGACATCATGTACAAGAACGACGATGACGGCACAGCCATTGTCGAGAAGATCATGGACTCTGCTGGCCAGAAGGGTACCGGAAAGTGGACTGCCATCAACGCTCTCGACCTCGGCATGCCCGTTACCTTGATCGGAGAGGCCGTCTTCGCTCGTTGCCTGAGTTCGCTCAAGCAGGAGCGTGGCCGTGCCGCTGGACTGCTGGATGGACCCAGCCCCAGCTTCTCTGGTGACCGCAAGGCCTTCATCGACAACCTCGAGCAAGCTCTTTACGCCTCAAAGATCATCTCTTATGCCCAGGGTTTCATGTTGATCCAGAACGCGGCCAAGGAGTACAACTGGAAACTGAACAAGCCAGAAATCGCGCTCATGTGGCGTGGTGGCTGCATTATCCGCTCCGTCTTCTTGAAGGACATCACCAAGGCCTACCGCGCCAACCCCGACCTCGAGAACCTTCTCTTTGACGACTTCTTCAACAAGGCTATCCACAAGGCACAGTCTGGATGGAGAGAGTAAGTCATCTCCAAGCCGAATGGCGCCACCGTACTAACAGTCTGCCAGCGTCGTCTCCAAGGGTGCTCTCTGGGGTATCCCAACCCCTGCTTTCAGCACAGCACTCAGCTTCTACGACGGATACCGCGCCAAGGACCTGCCCGCCAACCTGTTGCAGGCACAGCGTGATTACTTTGGCGCACACACATTCAGGATCAAGCCAGAATGCGCCAACGAGACATACAAGGAGGGCCAGGACATCCACGTCAACTGGACCGGAAGGGGTGGAAACATCTCGGCTTCCGTAGGTCCTCCCAAATCAACGATGGCGTGTAGCAGAACTAATCATTCAATAGACCTACAACGCATAAACGGATTCAACGTCACGGCTCGAGGATGGATGGAGCGTACAGCGCTACTTGGCATTTGCGCTCAAGAAGTGACCAAAGTAATAGTATTGTAGAATCTGAATTGGAGAAATGACTCACACGTCGTTGAAGTGTGCACTGTGCCGTGATGAATGCCAAGGTGTCCCTTTTGCTTTACGTATACGTAGTACTGTGATGGAAGCAAGGTGTCAAGCTTATGGGGGGTACAGTACCAAAGGGGGCATGCAAAGAGACCTCGGCACCCTTGAGAGCAGCTGTCTGTTCGTCATGATAGAATAGGCTATTGTGAAGGTGTTGCGCTGTGTGGAAGATGCCAAAGAATATCTGGAAACGCTCACGTCGGACCCATGGGACGGCTCTGGCGGTACCCAAGTCTGGTTGGTGTGGCCGTGGGCAAGCGCCAACAAGCAGTCTTGGCGTTTGTGGGTGGGATGGTTGGAGCGCATCCATAGCCCACACCACCTGCATCCCCTCCGAGCCACGACAGCTTTTCTGCCGCGCTCGCGCTCGTATCCTCTGCCGAGTCGCGTGCACTTTTGCCGTCTCCTTCTCGTCGCTCTTTTGCAGTGCCCCTTGACTGCGTGCATGTATCCTCGGCGTTAAGGCTTGCGGGAGTCTTTGGTGAGCATATAGTTTGCTGCTTACGAGCGCAAACACACAGGGGCAAACACTACAGATTCTCCCAGCGTCAACAGTAGACTCTGGAGACGAAGAACGTGCAGCAAAAGAGCTCGACATAGGCCATCGCTATGGCGGACAACAAGCGCAACAGCGTTGCGGGGAAGATCGCTACCCCCAACTTGAAAGCTGGCGCTGCAGTGAACAAGGATATTATAAGTCCAGATTCGGAATTGTTCAAAGCCATTGGGGCGCGGTAAGCCACACTTTTCACCCTGTATACTTGGACAGAGAGAGCTTTCGCCTTGAATGATTACTGGCCATGCTGACACTCCCCAGCATCAGGATTACCTGCGCTCCCCACAACAACACACTCGAGGGGACTCTCTTCACGGCTTGCGATCTCACCCACTCCCTGGCCATCAATACTGCACCAGCTCCACCAAACCCATCTGTGCCCCTCACAAGCCAACCGGGAGACTATCACATCATCCCGTTTGCCCACCTGCTTTCCTTTGAGATTCTCAGTCTTGCCGAACGAGCCCCAGAAGCACAGTCTGGCTTCGCAGGAGCGCAGCCCACTATCTCGAAGGTGGACCTTGCTGCAGGCCGGGCGCGCGAGGAACAGACGATCCGTGAGATGAAGAAGAAGGATGCGCAAAAGGGCAAAGGTGTCAGTAAAGAAGCACAGGACTTGTTCGATGCCATCTCAAGAACGTGAGTATCCTCAACTGTGCCCGTCTTTGGAATCGAGAAAGGGGCTAATTCAGAGCACAGACTCCCAACTCGCTGGGTAGACACGCAGATAGTCGTCAGCGACTCCGTCCTTATCCAAGCGCCGTACACACTCGACAGCATCAAAGCGCCCGCCGACAAAGCTCAGGCGGAGGCACATGTCCGCAAGATTGTGGAACACTACTACCAGCGCAAGAAGGGCGCTTCCTCGGGAGGAGCAGCTCGCGCCCCGGTCGCCTTGCCGATTGCGCCCCGAAAAGGGGGTTAGATCTGGGAATAGATTGGACGCAGGCCATCCAAGACATCTCCAGGCGACGCCGCGCGAGAATATAGCCATTCTTTGAATGTCCGTGGTCTGGCTCTAGGTGGCCTGACCATGACATGATGCGCCTAAAGAAACAATTCATGAAGAGGCCATGGTCTGCTATGAGGACTTCAAATGCGATGTAGGTATCCCTTTGCCAAAGCCAGAATAGATCTAGTCTATGGCCAATGTGCAATTGCACATGGAAACCGAGTTTAGTCGGGGAACCCGGCGTACATTGTACATGCTGCGTATCCAAATGGATGGAAAGTCGAGTAAATAAACAATGACAAATCACGTATTCAACGTGGGAATCCACGATACATGTTGCAAGGCATTGGAAAGATGGAAATTTTTGTTTTGTGGTGAGGGTCCGAGAGATGATGGTGGTGAACGCCGTGGGTGTACCTGAAAATACTAACGAGAAAGGCTGTGTTTGACAATCCAGAGGATCAGCCTATGCTTTATACGAGTAGTAGTGGTGTTTTGAAATGCTAGAAAATGGTATGAGCAATGGGTCTAAACGTCTAATCCCCGTAGGTTACGGCATCTACCGTCCACCACGCAAAGAAGAAACATATCAGAGCCCAGAACAAGACACTAGAAAATCGCACAACCACCCCCTACGGATACACAAACCGCCGATCCCCCATAATCCCCCAAACCTCCTCCACAACCCTAACCTGCTCCTCCCGCTTCGCCCCCCTAACCGCAAAATACACCCTCCCCTCCAGCGTCGGCCCCCAATCCCCCGGATTCGCAGACGCCACCAAGCCCCCCGCCTCCTCGAGGATAATCCAGCCGGCAGCTACATCCCAAACCCACACCCCAGCCTCCCAATACGCATCCAGCATGCCCTGGGCCACGTAGCAGAAATCCAGAGCGGCGGACCCGTTGCTGCGCACGGATTTACACATTGCACCGCCTTCCGAGTGTGCGGTTAGCAGCGCGGTGTGCACGGAGGTGCGAAGTGCCCAGTTTGGACCGCTGCGTTGGTTTCCCCATTCTACGGCTACGAGGCAGTCTGCTAGACCGTTGAGCGGGGGCGGGATGGGGTAGAGGGGTAATTTGACGGACGAGCCTGTCGAGAGGTTGGTCAGGTAAGCGCCGTTATTCTTGAGCGCGGAGTAGAGGTCTGCGCGGAAGGGGTTGTATACGATGCCGACCACGGGTTTGCGGGCTACGGCGAGGGCGAGGCTGATTGCGCAGTTGGGAACTTGTTTTGTGAAGTTTAGGGTGCCGTCGATGGGGTCGCATATAAAGGTTGGAGAGGCGGGGAGGCGGGTACCTGGCTTGAAGGATTCTTCGCCGAAAAAGGGAATGTCTGGGTAAGCAACGTGTAAGCGTTGTTTGACGAGTTCTTCCACCTCGCCGTCGTATTTGGTCACGAGGTCGGAGGTGTTGTTCTTGGTTGTGGCGGAGACGAGGAAGTCGTGTTCGGCTTCGAGGAGGATTTTGCCGGCGTCCAGGGCGATGGCGGTGAGGAGGGCGTGGATTTCGGAGAGGTCGTGGGAGGTCAGGTTGTAGGGGGCTAGGGTTAGGGCGAGGGAGGGGGTGCTGGAGGGGGTGCTGGAGGGGGTGAGGAGGGGGGAGATGGGAGCACTGGGGGTGGAGGTGCCGCTTGAGTTGGCGAACGGGCTGGTGGATTTGCTATCGTCATTGTTGGTTTCTAGACCCGTGGGTTCATCAAGCATACTCCTAGAGGCCTTAAGCGCGGAACTGTCGTTGCTCATTTTTACGTATCTTGTTGGTTTGAATCCGGATTTGAGCGTGGGAAGGCGAGTGGAGTGTTGGTCGAATGGCCTTGCAGTAGTCGAGTGTGGGAATTGAGCAAGTCTGCTGTGTATCGAGCAAAAGTAAATTGCGAGGATATCTACCTTTCTTATATACCACAACGGCAGAAGCCGGGGCCTGCGAAGTTGTAAACGGACATTGGAGGGGAAGTAGACGTCGAAGAACCAACGCCGCAGCACCGCAACGCTTATGCTGGTGGTGTAGGTACCGTACAGGTCCAAGCTTTGTCTCACTGAGTTGAGACTTTGAACAGTGTAGAGTCGCAGAACCGCGACCGAGATACACTCCTGTTATACCCATTCCTCAATATTCTGGGGGTATATATCAACTTTATGAGCGCGCGTGAAACTAGCTGACCAACACGTATTGATTTATTTTGGTTTGTGAAAGCGCCGCAAGCTCGTGAGCTAATGCAACAAGTGCAGCCACGTCGTTTAAGCACGTCGGTTGGGGTGTCAGGGCGCCTTGGACTCGGCGTCTCGACTCTCAGAGGTTACCTACGGCTTGGTTCACATGGTTTGCGGATCCCGTTGATCAATGTGTCCATGTGATCTGGATGTTGGGCTTTGGCAACGGGTTCAACCGTGCCTGTTCACCATGCTTCCCCGACCTTGGGACAGGTTGATGTGCATGTGTGTTTGGTATGGACATGTTGATTGGAAGATTATTGCCGGACAGCGAGTGACATGCGACTTTGAAACTTTGGCAGGACGACGAGGTCCCGTGTCGGTCCGAGGCCGCCTGTCGTCTTTGGCGCTATCATGGCCTCGGTAGATGCAGAGGAGTAGTTCCGTGCTTTTCAAAGTGTGTTGTCTGATCAATGAGAAGATGTGAATAATGTGTATGATAACATGGATGGTCCAAGGCTGTGTGTGATCTTATGTGTTTTTGTGAGGAGACCTGGCTATGCAGGACATAGTTGTTGACGGTACCAGCACAACTCATTGCCGATGCCAGAAGCATTAGAAGACGTCTTAGAGCAAGCAGATGCAACATGCCATGCCATGCCATGGCGGTGAAAGAAAATAATGCCAGACTGGAAACAATTTGAGTTGTTCCAAGGTTTCCTTTAACATTTCTGTCCCGGAGAAGAAGAGATGAGCAGCAACAAGGGTCATGTAGTCGTGTCCGTGCGCAGAGTTCAATTGAACTTAACCACTCTACCATACACACTTCACATGTGCATGGTGTATCGTCCTAGAGTATCCTCTAAACTGGCTGGGAGTGAGGGCGACTCTGGCAGCAGGTTCAAAACCTATTGTTTCCAATTCCGATGTCGAATACCTCCAAATACTCGACCCAATCGTAATCGTTGTATCTAGCTGACGTCATTCAACATCGACGCTCATCACGGGTGGAGTAATTGACCCATGGCATCATACCTATGATTTGTATCACTATTTTGCAATAAAAGCAAGAACGTATGCAAGGTGCATCTTCTCTATAATGCCGAACGCCTATGGAGTTTTTTTGGTACTTGCAATGCACCGAAATTCAGTACATGAAGCAAGCGAACCGAGAGCAACTGACCATTAACCAAGGCTTTGACAATTTAAAATACGACAAAAGTGCGATTAAATGCCTAAAATTTGAGTATAAGTACACGTCTTCCCCTCAACTATGCTTACAATATACACTCATCAGTCTGCATTGTCATTCATTCCGTCCACCATCTTGTCCCGACCTGGATTTTACCAAGCTTTCGAAACTCCGCCATGAGACTTGCTATCACCACTTGTCTGCTTCTCATCGCCAATTTGGCTGCCGGCCAGGTTCAGGACGTGCCGAAGATGCAAACCCCTAATAGTCTTGTCTTTAATCCCATATATTTTAATCTTAGGTACCTGTATTCTAATTTGAACATTTTATAAACATTCACAATGGATTGCCAATGTCAGGGGCCAGTGGGAGATACGGCGGCAGAGTTTTGCTGCAGTGATCCCGACGGCCAATACAGTGACAAGAATGGCCCGACATTTCTTGATGGGTCGGATCACCGTGGAAAAGGTTGGCAGCAGATAAAAAGTGCCGGTTTACTTTGGAAAATCCGAAGGACATACCGTCAAAGAAGTGGACGGATGGATTTGCTGCCTGCTGTCTGGCTACACCACGCGATCTGCGTTTAGAAATCACTGGCGGGAGCTGTGAGATATTGCTTTAGAGTCATGATCTTGATCTCAATTGCTCTTGTACTTTAACTATGGAACGTTCGACGCTGTATAACTACTGTGATTTGCTAGGGCTATATTGCAATACATCAGTACCCAACTCAATACCGCCATATATCAACGTTAATAGATCGCCATAGATATGGATATATCGTGATATCAAGGTAGGCCTGATCTATCGTGATATTGGGGTGCGTCAAGGTAGGTATCGAGCGTGGTATCGATATATCGCGATATCGAGGTGGATATCAAGGTACCATAGGTAGGTATCAAGGCTGCCCTGAACGATGAGGCAATGTAGAGATGTTTAGGGGAAACAAAAATATACCGCGGAGGACAGGTTACAAAACAGTAGTAGTAGCAATTGCAAGAGGTTTTGTTAAAGACACAAAGTACATTGTTAAAAGTAGAGTTATTGCTTTTTCTGAAATGTCCGGGCGAACACAGCCGTTCTGCCCTGCCTACAACCATACCTACCGTGATATAAACTAGCACTACAGTACAAAACTGGTTTACAGTAGCTATATTTATCTAAAGTAGACCAAGAAGTGGTTTAGGTAGAAGAAGTAAACCTAAATAGGGTTTATTATACCATGTATTCCACAAAAGTAAACTACTTTTATTTCTACTTCTATTAATCTACTAGTATTACGTAGTAATACCTAGTTTCCTACTATTTAAGTATTTTACCCCTCCTTTCTTTAATCTTCTTTACCACCTCTATCACCACCTCTACTACCACCTCTATCACCACCTCTATCACCACCTCTATTATCACCACCTCCTACTAGTAAAAATATCATGACTTATTATTATGTCATATGTGCGTATAGCGTGAAGCTAATCTTTTCTACCCCTTTTAGTCTTAGTTAGGTATTATAGCGTATAATAGATATAAAACTACTTTTTATACTTAATTTAAACCACCTATAATAAAGTAAACCACCACTTTAAACCTATTTACGGGTATACACGAGGTCAGTTTACACCTATATAGTAAACCCCTAGCGTACCATTCTACAGTAAACAATTTTTTACCGTAGTGTAGGACTAGGTAAGGTCTAAGATAATTCAAATCTATTCCTATGCCCCTAGCGAATTTAGATCTGCGCTGGAAAAAGAACGCCCAAATTTCAGCTGGGTAATGGGATAGACATATCTTCTCATCAACCGTCAATCACCTACGACATGAAAGGAATCTATTGGAGCTTGGCAACTTTTGCAGATCCTGAAGTTCGTCCTTCCATGCCATTAGCCTACCTATCTAGCATGGCTTGATAGTATGCAGTAGTTAAATAGACGTGCGTACATACAGGGTATAAATAGCTCGCTCCGCAAGCAATGGTTTGTATGGCTCGTTTGCAGTAATAGCAAGGATGCATGCCAAGATGCGTCTTCTTTGCAACGCTTACCGGTACCGAAGATAGAGTTTTACGCATCGCAAGAAACATGCGGTGAGGAAGTCAGTCAAACAATTGAACCAAGAGTAGGTAATACAAAGCATTTCCTTGCATTAGAGCTCTATATATATTGGCTGACTGTGAGTCTAGGCTTTAGTACGTTAGCCCTATTACAAAAAGCCCAATTTACCTAAGGCCTGGAATTTGATTATAAGTAGATGTCTTTCCCTCAACTACCTACGCTCATAGTCTACCTTTATCAGCCTGTATTACCTATTGTCAATTAATCAGTTCTTCTACCACCTTATTCCAACCTGGATTTGCCCAAGTTTTCAAGACCCCATCATGAGGCTTACCGGCACCGTTTGTTCTCTAGTTGTCGCCAATTTGGCTAGCGGCCAGAAACCAGCGATAGGTGCTAAGCCTAAGCCAAACATACGTCCCCGCAGGAGTCTTCTGGTTATTCTCTAGTAATTAATTCCAGGAACATGCATTTCAACTAACACTGTGTATGTAGATGCTCACAATGACTTGCAAATGTACTGGATCAATAGGAATTTCAGCGGCGAAAATCTGCTGTAGTGATCCCAGCCAAAATCTCAGAAATATTACCGGTAAACCGTTCGAAGGCACAATGTTTCTCGGAAATGATCTTCAACGCGGAAAATGGCCCTCAGAATCTGACAAGGGCCAATTCGAGCTGAACAATTGGCAAGACTTCCCAAAATCTCAATGGGCGGATTCATGGACCCGCTGCTGTTGTGCTACAGCACACGAAGGGCCTTCTGAGATGACTGGCGGGAGCTGCACTTACTGATCACCAGGAATACATTCATTTCCTGAAGCTATATTGTGCAATTTCTCGGGGTACTCATGGTCCATGGTTGCATGATGGATAACAAACCGGTCCTCTGTCGCACTCACGTAATGAGATTGATTTCTTTCAATTGACATATACGCGTTACTGTGTCCGTTTTGTTTCCAACATAGTAATTACTAATAGTGTCCAAAAGAGGGCCAATTACTGCTCCGTAAGCCAATCTTAAAATTGTAGAGCGGAGTGGTGTTGATCCAATGCAGAGAAGAGAATATCGGGCATTTCCCACGATGACATGTTCCACTTGTTGAATTTGTCATCATGGTAATCTGGCTTTCAAGTTTGCTTCCAAAACTTGTCCATCGAGGCAACGAAATGGCAGAGTACATTAAGAAGCCATGAGACTGCAATACCCCAATACACACGAAGGACTACACAGTAGTACCCTTCATAAACTATCACTACTTGATAAACACATCACAAAGCACCCGTACACAAGACTCCAATGTGGGGAACCTCCTCGGCCTACCTTCCCCTTCCATTACCACAAGGTATCTTCTAGACGTGATCAAAGACTTGCAACTTGTAACGCTCTTTTGCTCCAGCCTCCATCTAGGCCAAGCAACGGTCAATTTCGAAAAATCCCTATTCTTGCACTTGGGTTTCACTCACTCGGCCCTCATGGCATAGTGGTAAAGCGTGTGATTAGTATGAAAGTACAAAATATGGGGTATGAAATATAAAACGTAGGTCTCTCTATTGCTCGCACTACGAGTGGAATTCTTTTCTTTTTTTGCCTGTTGAGCCTCTGGCCTTGAGTTGCTGGTGGCAGGGGCAGTGTGCATGGTGGCGTTGCTAGCGCGTTGGAGAAGCGAGGTGGTGTGGCTGTGGGTGGGCTTTATTCATTCGGCCCTGTGCCTGCGCGCGACTTTGAGTTTTGCAGGCCTGGGGATGTGGGTGAATGGTGAGGTGTGGTTTTGTGCGTTGGGAGGTGAGGTATCTGGGTGAATGAGTTGTCTTTTTGTAGGTAACGTGATCCACCACCGAGCGCCCACCCCCACCGAGCGCCCACCAACACCAAAATCCACCACCCACTAAATGAGGATATTGCGCCACCCACAATAGCTATTATTACGAGATTTCTTAGAGTCGCGATTATTAGATCTATTAGAGTAGATTAAATATTTTAGATTATATAAGCAGCTTTTTAGGGGGTCTAATTAGGCGCCTATGCTATAAAGTTGCCTCTACTACTATATCCTCTTCTACTAGCTCCTTATTAACCACCTTAGCTAGTATAATAGTAGGAGGCTTAAGGATTTACCTCTTGCCTATTTAGGACGTTTTAATATTATTTTAGAGTTACTTTTCTAGTTGCTTAGTAGTTTTCTACTTATTACCTATAGTAGCTTTTTAGGTAGCTTTCTCCTCCTACTCCTTCTTAGTAATTACTTAATTTAGGCAACGCTCCTCTATAAGTTAAGCTTTAGCAAGCTTCTATTACTTATAAAGCTTAATTACCTTACTTTTTTAGTATTATAGCTCCTGTTCTTTAAGGTTCTTTTGCTTCTAGAGCTTAAACACTTGCTCTACCTTTAATAGTAAAATAAATTAGGCACTACTACTATAATTATTATTAGGGGGTAATAATAGAGGTTTACTACGCTTCCTATACTTCTTCTTATTAGCTAGGGCAGCCCTTAGGTATTTATTTTTATAGTTAAGTAGAGTATTTCTTACTAATATAGTGTAGATTATCTAGCTAAGCTTCTTTAATTATTTATTATAGATATTAATTATAGTATTATAGAGTAACTACTCTATCTTTCTCTAATTACTTATACTTAATATTAAGGTTATACTATTACTTAAAGAAGGCTAGTTGCTATTATTTATAGGTGCTTTAAACCTTAAAAGGATAACGTTAGGGTTAAGTAGTAAGATACCTATTACTTTAAAAGCTATTAATATTAGCTTTTCCTTAAAGGTATTACTCTATATAGTATTAAATAACTAGTAGAAATCCCTCTTAGTAATACTTATAAGCCCTTAAAAGCTATCTAGAAAACTAGATAGTTAAGCTTTATATAAAGCTATAAAGGGAGCAAATACTATAATATTAAGTAGCTAAAGGGTATAAGTGCTATAAGGGGGATATATTATAAGTAGGATCTTATATTTATTATAGTACTTAATAAACTCTATTATTATATAAGATCTATAGCTATTAAGGATAAGGAGCTAGTATAAAGTATATGTAACGACTTAGGTAGGTAGGGCATCCAAAAGGTATCCTATATAACTTAAAGGCATATAGGAGTGCGCGTCTGTATAGAAAAGGATAAGATTCCTACACCTATAGGTCTTGTACAAAAGGATAAGAAGAATATATCTATCTAAACTATAGGCAAGCTGTTCTTTATATATATTAGTAAGTTAGGCCTTTATTAGGCCTAACTTAGTATAGAATAATAGGTAGGTAATTCTACCTTATTATTATATTACCCCCTCCTATAGAGAAAGGATAGTCCCTATCCTTAGGATTAGGTTTAGATCCCTTATTAAAGAAGAGCTTTTTGCAAAATAAATCTACCTTTACCTCTACCTTTACCTTTACTTCTTCTTCCTAGGGTATAGACCTCTATCCCTAGCCTGTATATAACTAGCCCTCTACTTACTAACTTTCTTATTCCTATATCCCTAATTTTTTAAATATTTAACCTAATCTATCTAAAATCTAGTAAGTATTTAATCTATATAATTAAATAGTTGCTAATCTAAATTAGAACCTTTAGCTATACTAGTACTAGTACTACTAGGAGTCCTACCTATTACTTATCGCGCTCTCTATATAAGGGTAGTTAAGGCTCTAGCTAGGGGCAGGTTTAATAATTTTAATTTTAAGTTAAAGAATTCTAAGAAGTACTAGTACTATATCTCCTAGAATAAGTATTATAATCTAGTAAGTATCTAAGTCTAATAGGGTTCCTTTACTAATTCTAGTAGATTCCTTCTTTTATTAGCTAAGAGTACTCTACCCTTAGGGGTGCTCTAGATAAGTACTATAGCTTAGTAGCAAACCCTACTAAAGGGGATAAGGATAAGGAAGCTATAGTTACTTATTAGAAGGATATTAAGTAGTTTAAGGCTACTATTTAAGAAGCTACTTAAAACCTTACTAAGTATATTACTATTACTAATACTTAGACTAAGGGTATAGAAGCTACTAAAATCCTTATAGCTACCTATTATACTACTATATCTAATTTATATTAGCTTTAGAATAGTATCTATAAGATAGTCTTAGTAGTTAGGGGCTTAATAAGGGCTATTAAGGAACTTAAGGAGGAATTAGCACTAAATTAGGAGGCAACCTTCTTAGTATAGGCTAAGATAAAGGCGTTCTACAAGAAGGAGTCTAAATTAGTCCTAGCTCCTGCCCCTACTCCTATACCTACTCCTACACCTGCTGTACTAGTTATCTAGAAGCTAGCTAAGAAAGATAGTCTAGGCGCTATCTTAGCTAATATAGAGTCTAAACTAGGTTCTAATAGAGAGATAGATATAGAATAAAGAGGTTTCTTAGGGGTAGTGTCCTAGGAACCTTAAGGGTTCTAGGTTAGTTCTAAATAGGATATAATAATAAATAGTAATAAGAATAATAGTAATAGATAGTAGTTAATAGATAATATATAGCTAAATAGGATATAAATTAGTTCTAATATTAGGTATAATTATTATAAAGTAATATTAGATCCTCCTTACTCTTTTTCTAGGCTTAAATCTATTTTAGTAAGCTGCGTAGGGGACCTAGCTAACTTAGATACTATTAGTAGAATACCTATAATTTATAGGGAGCACCTATAAAGTTAGAGGTAGGATACTAAATAGGATTAGGATTATGTCTAACCTACTTAACCTTATATTTTAGCTTAGATTAATATAATTTGCTAGCTAGGATTTCTTCTACCTCTTATTCCTCTATACCTTATATAGGCGTACTAGGGGGTTTTAGAGCCTCTTATCTAGGTAATAGGTCTTAGGGATCTTTATATAGTATATTAGGAGAGAAAATATTATAGATCTTAGAACTAGGTAGCAATTAGAGGTAATACGCGTTTCCTACTTGTTCTAATACCTTAAAGGGACCTTCTTATTATTTAGATAGTTTTTAGCTAGGTTATAAAATAGTAAGATTAGTAGTAGATAGATAAGTATAATTACTAACCTTCTAGTTAACTAGATAATAATAGTAATTAGTAGTAGAGCGTATTTAGTCTTAGGCTCTTTCTATATTTTCTTTAGTAATCTTCTAGGCGTTGTGTATCTAAGTAGTAAGAGATAAGGCGTCCTTATAGTTTAGTTTCTCTAGTATAGTAGATAGGGTCTTTTCTAGTTTCTAATACTAACTTTACTTTAGTAAGGAACTAAAGAGGAGCTAATATAGAGCTATGCTAATAGATAAATATAGAAGAGTACTTTAGGCATAGTCTATTATAGGTAGTAGGTTACTCTAGTTATCTTAGTAATAGGATATAAAAGGCCTTAGTCTCTAATTAATATACTTATTTATAATTTTAGTTTATCTATTAGTTTATTTATAGTAGGTAGTAGAGAGCTTAACTTTAGTGCCTATAATCTAATAGAACTTAGACTAGAAACTAGATATAAACTAAGGGCCTTAATTAGAAATAATAGTATCTAGAGTATATCTAAATTAGTATACCTACTAAATAAATAAGGTAGCTATACCTTAGGCGTCTATAGTTTTATAGCAAGGGATAGTAATAGCTTACTTTAATAGGTAATTAATAATAACTATAATCTAATTATAACTATATTAATCCTAGGGAAAATCCTTAAAATTAATATATAGGTGTTGCATTAGTAGACTAGGGATAGGAAGGGGGTAGAGCATGCTAGGGAGTTAGTGCTATCTTAGGTGCCCTCTCCTGCATAGGATATAGTTCTAAACGTAGCGTTTATAGGTAGTCTCTATA